GTTGCTATCTCTTAGTCATATATAAGCATACTTCACGGTAATTATCACTATGGCAGTTCAAACTAGCCTTAAAAAGCACTAAAAAAACCCTACTCTGTAGTCGCAAGGGCTTCGGCCAGAGGCAGTAACCCAGAAATATTTACTCCATCTCGAAAAACATTCTAAAGACCTGCTTATATCTCGCCTGTTCTGATACGACGCCTACATTGCCACAGGCTAGCACTGAAACGGCACAGGCAGAACCAAGCGGAAGTGATACCACACATATATCCGTAGGAAGCCGGTGTGCGACACAGCAAAACAAAAAAGAAAAGTTCAAGACGTCATAAAACATAAAACATAAAAACAACTCTACCCAAACCTGGTGGCCTGCTTGACACCTGGGCTACCTTTCTATACATCTACATATTTGCATCTAAAAAAAATTTATTAATAAAAAAGACCTAGAAAGCGTCATCTAGAAAAGGAGACGTATGTAAGGCCTGTGGTGTTGATATCTCTAAAAATGATTCAGCGTTTGAATGCAATTTTTGCAAACGATGGGTACATTGTCGTTGTGAAAATGGGGTGCTGAAACCATTTCATGAGTTTATGAGAAAGAACCCGGGCCTGAGGTTCCGGTACATCTGGCTACGCCACTTTTGTGTCTCGACAGAATCTCATGCGGTGCCATACCTGAGAACACCACATCTCCAAAACTTGGCAAAATCTGTGGGAAGGAGACTCCAACCCAACCAAATGTAAATATCAATCTTCAGAAACTGAAGACTCTCAAGGTTACACCTGGAACAGCAGGGGAAGACGAAATTGTCAAAGCACCACTTGCATTCACTAGCAAGCAGGGCAGCATAGCAAAGGCTAGTCAGAACCTGACGAAATCTGAAGTGACTGACACTACAAAGAGGGACAAGCAGCCAGAACCAACCTATGTCTGTGGTCAGTGGATTGAATTCCCTTATCCTGTTTGATGTACCAGGGTGCAATGATAGTCTACATAAACAAAGGGCTCTGTAGTAAATTAGGTCTGAGCATCAATTTAGCAAAACTGTGCAGGCTGTATATGGGTGTTCAGGCATCTCAGGGTAAGCCACCTCCACTAAGAGTGACACTTGGCTCTGCCGAAGTGGCTGAAAGAATACTGTTACTGGCTCAAGTACTAGTTGTGGCTACCCCATCCAGCTCATTCCACATTGACTCACTCCCCAGGGCTGCTATGTGCAAAGTTGGCTCTAGTACTTCAACGGTGGTACGAGACCAAGGGTAAATTGAGAGGACACGTTCGACGCTGCTAAATCAGACGTCGGACTATAAGGAGACAGCAGAGTGAGGCCACAATACGTCCCCAAGCCTCAGTGTCGTCATAGCGACACGGACCTGAGACTGACAGTCAGACTCAATGTCAGCCGCCCTTATAGCGATGTGAGATGGCTGAGAGGGAAAGCAGGTGAACTCAGAAACCTCCAGCCACACCTTCACCTCAAAGTAATCATCCTTACTGAAACCTAACTCCCGCTATCGCCGACAATGAAATCAGTATGGATGATATGGTTCTGGTTAAGAGAGACAGGGATGAAGAGGAGGCGGAATGTTGCCATATACTTTGACAAGCAACTTAAGTGTGCATGTGCAATGAACCCACCACTTACTGAACTTCCAGACTTCAAATGGTGTCACTTCACCACAGGCCACACCAAGCATTTACTGGGTGGCATCTACCAATCACCCACCAGTGGGACAGAGCGGACTATGCCAGAATGTGAAGGCCTTTGTCTTACGTAGAATGCCCCGCAGAATGAGCTGAGTTATACATGGATGAACACTGGCAAGTGGCAAAAGAGATTGTTTACACAGAGATCTCAGATACCGTCCCTCTAGTCACAAGACAGCTGATAAAAGGTCTCCATGGGTGAAGAGAGGTGCGCAACACATTCTGTGAGCAAAGCGGAAGACCTGGTTCACGTGGTGAGTATCCAAGAGTCAGACCGACAACAGCGCATACCTGGAACTTAGGAACCAATGAGGTTATTTCAGGCTTACCTTGCCAAAAGATACCGGCGAACTCCAAAAGCCTGTACCAGTTGGTGTCGGAGAGAAAACTAACCAGCGAAAGGTATGCAGTTTAGAAGGTCTAAACTCTCAATACCTCACTGGTCTGGAAGTGGTTGAGACATTCAGTATTTCTGGCCTTCGCCAATTAGTTAAACAGCAGTGTGGGTATCTCTGATACGGACCAAAATGGCGCCACTACTTATTCACCTGAGGAATACCTAGTTGATACTCCCCTAATAAGGCCGGCAATAGTACTACTGAAGCAACAGAGACTCACATCTGGAAAGTCCCCAGGTTGTGACGACATCAGGCCATCTGTCATGAAACCGTGCACCTGGTCAATCTAACAAAGTAGGGCCTCTACAAGGACTAGTGTGGAATAATGCTCTTGTCAAACCAAGTCAAGTAAAATACTAAGGCGCATCATCCTGGAGAGAATAAAAGATGTACTGAATACAGAACTCCACCGCCCAATCGAACAAGATGCATTCAGGAAAGGCAAACCATGTGCTGACAAAATTGCAACTCTACGCATCGTCATCGAACAAAGCACAGAATGGCCTTCAAAGTTGTACCTTAACTTCATTGATTTCGAAAAGGCCTTCGACAGATGGCATTGACCAATTTGGAAACTACTTCAACACTACGGTATGCACTGCCCAAGTGTTTATCAACCTCATTCAACAGCTGGCCATATGACAGTGCACCTACGTGTCCGCTGATCCACAATGGAAAACTCAGCAGGGCGTTCGAGGTGATAACAGGAGTAAGACAAGTTGGCTGCCTACTATCACCCATGATATTCTTAATTGCGGTGGACTGGATTATACGTTGGAATGAGCGTTGGGGGTAAGGAGACAGGAATACGCTGGATCATCAATGGGAAGACTCTAGAAGAATTCGCAGATGATGTATGTCTTATGTCACACAAACTCGAAGACTTACAGGCGAGAACCAAAAAACCGGCTGAAGTGCTTGGCAGCGAATACAGGAATGCAGGTGAACTTAGAGGAGACAGAGGCTATCAAATACCTACCAACCAACAGCAACAGCAAAAGCAACCAGCACCAATCACCATCAGCGGGAGATATTTTCATAGGTTACCACCTTCACTTATCTAGGAGCCATCGTTTCAGATACAGGCGGGACGGATGAAGATGTCAAAGTGAGAACTGAAAAGGTAACATGCTCATTCATCAACCTGAAACCTGTCTGGTAATCTTCAGCACTCAATATAAGGAACGAGGATCGCATTTTCAACACATATGTCAAGCCAGTTAATTCTTCTATACGGGTGATAAACTTAAACTGCGTGTCACGGAAAGGATTTCCAACAGACTGTAGACTTTTATAAACAGCTGTCACTTCCGCCGGCTCCATGCTGAAGATCAAATGGTCGGTCAGAAGGAATGATTACTAGAAACTTTGTCTGGCAGCATACCTACCGAAAGGCAACTGTTCAACAGATATGTAGGAGAAAATGAAGATGGATTGGGCATAATATAAGGAGGCTGTCGAATGACACCGCGCCAGACCAGTGCTCTGGTAGAGTCCAAGTAAAAAGTGACGAGTATGTCATCGGTGTGAGGGTGACATGGAGGAGATCTCGTTAGAGGAGATGATAGAGTTTGGTCAATCGCAGATCCAGCTGAAGAGGGCAGCGGAAAACAGAACAAAGTGGAGATGTGTTACTGAAGCCATATGTTCCACTCATAACTCAATTATAGTGAAATTACGTATCTGTAGACTGCAGAATGCTAGTTACACCCTGTGCAACCAGAAGTTTGTCCTACAAGACGTCGGAGCGCGACTTAGGTTTAGTTCTAACGAAGAAAACGGACACAAGCGTGAATCACACGGCGGATGTAGCTAGGGCATTTGGGGTCATAACCTTAACACAGACAGTTAGGTGAAATCACTCCTGAACTCTTTCTTAGGTTGTACAAAACATACGTCAGACCACACGTTGAAGTGCATAACATTATTGCACCCCCACTGCTTAGAAGAGACGCAAACCTTTTGTAAAGAGTCCAAAGATGGGCGACAAAAGGAGTGGTTGGTTTCCGAAATAAACCATATGATGAAAGGCTAGAGAAATTAGGTATATTGACACTAAGCTACCGTCAGCTTAATGAGGACTTGATTCCTGCCTACAAGATAAATGACCAGAATCACCCAAACGAAGGTGTTCTACCATTGAATAAGTATGAGCTTCAGCGTGGAAATCTTAGAAGGATAGCTCAGCAGAGGGCAATGACTCGGATGCGCTCCCACTTCTTTTCACGATGGGTTTGTCATCCCTGGAACTCCTTACCGGCAGAAGTAGTTATGGCACCGTCTGTAGACAGCTTTAAACGAAGGTTGCACAATCATACAGTGACACAAGAAGTGCGTCAAAATCGCCTATCCCCTTAAAATTCAATACGTCATTTTGGGTAGATATCTAAGCTCATCTTTTTAGTTCTATTCATTCTCTCCTGTATTACTCTCCTGACTACACCAACCTCTACACTTACACTTATTATGATTATTATTACATATATTATATACGTATATATTTTTTATGTATGTATATACATGTATCAACTTCAAATTTAATTAACTTTCTGTTTTGGCGCTTTGCTTTTTCTTTTTCTGTCTTTTAGTTTGAATAACCTAACTAATTATATCTATTATTACCTTTTTTCTTTTGACGACGATACCGGAGGGCTAACTGGTGAAAGGACGAAAACCATTCACGGCAGCAACAAAGTCTAAACACACCGCATACTACAAACAACATATAGTTAATCCCATCACCAACCAAAGCTACTACAGTTGAGACGAAGTACGCAGAAGTTTACCAAATACCAGGAACCCTTTATCTTACAATCAAGGGGGGGAGCACAAAGAAATCAAATTAGTTTACACTAGCTCGTAAAAACGATATTGGATATTGGAAGTCCTCCAGACTACAACCATTTAAATTGTTGTTCTACGTTTGGCTAAAAGTACTGTAATATCATGACGTGTGTGTGCATGTATTAGCATTCTCGAGAAATTGTGTCTTTCAGTTATAAGTATGCACAATGAAATATTCTTTAAGTGCATTATTCATTTCAAGGTGCTCAGGCTTATTCTTTTAAAAGAACAAATGATGAAAAATATACTTTTTCAAATATGAAAATATGCTTTTACATATAATTATTTCTCAATAATAGGACGTCCGACTAAGGCATCTTATTATGCTTTGTGGTGATTATCAAGCCATCTGTGCAATTATTATTGAAGATTTACACGTGAAGAACAAATTTAAACCTTATCACTTCCCTAGCTAGCATTATTTTTGGGCGCATCTACTTACGCGGGACAGTGCCCCTAAGCCTGCCCCAAAAAGTCTTCAATGCACCCGATATCGTTACTAGCTGGGTCTATAGTTTAACTTTGCCCATTATTGTTAGCAGTACTCCGAAAGTAGTCATCTTTCAATGGACTAAGAGTCCATTTAGTACTAGAACTAATAGAATTATTTGCAGCTCTAGAGTACTTCTCTTGATTGTTAGTGATTTAAAAGGCGCATGAGTAACTTCACCTGTAGTTGGATCACTTTTAACGCACGTTAAAAGTACATAAAGCACCATGATAAAAGTCTAAAACGCCAGCTTCATTGTAACCTTGACTCACTTGATTAATAGCTTTAGAGTGGTTTCGATTCCCATCTTAGTCTTGTAATTCTAGTGGCTTCTACAAAGTCTATACAAGATAGCTCTGCTTCTTTGATTTGGGAAGCATGACATCTGGTTCCTTCCAAATTTGTACTTACAAGCCTTTTTGAATAGACATCGTAGTGGTGTGGTAAAGAAGCCTGGGACGATTTGCTTTTGGGTGGCTACAGTTTGCATACAGTTTTATATTCTGTAAGTGGGAAAATATCGCCACTCTAGTCTTGTAAAATAACATCCACTTCTTTCGTATGTATTTGCTATCATGGAGTAGTGCTTGAGGATTATAAAAAGTAAATAAATTCAACCCATTAACATGCAGACATGCCTCTACAATAGTAGCAAATACTTTGGTGACAATGATAAAGAAATACGATTTTGATTCACTGTCGATATGAAAGCTGATGCAGTGTAACTCTTGGTTAATAGAAGGATTACACTTTTAATAAGTTAAAGTTTATTTATTTAGTTTGTATGCTCCTAACTATACATCATATGTTGGTTTTGTGAAGTTTTACCCTTGATAAAAGTCTTATTCACTATTTCAGAGTTTGCGCTGAAAAATGAAATAGTTTCTGTATTGCTGAATTAGTCGTCTGGTGTATATTCTCCCTAATATGGACTGTCCTCCAGCGCCACATCCTCAAGTCAATATGCATCTTCCCACGTTTCACTCAACAAGCTTCATACAGAATAATATTTCAACCCTTGCTCAAGATAGCTTGTACGAAGTTCGGCGCTTAAGACTGTTGTTGACCAACCTTTTAACTTCTGTTCAATCAGAGGAAAGAGATCAAGACGAAAAAAATAAAGCTGTAGATGAGAGCATTTCAGTGTTTAACAGAAGTGTCAGTGGCAAATCTGGGAGCATTCCCAGCCCTTTATGCACAACGGTTGATGGTAAAACTGGAATCGCATCTGACAATCGTAATTTCCCTTCAACTTCTGGCACAAAAAGCATTTCAAGCGAAAAGTTATCACTGCACAAAGTAATAAATCAGATAAGGTAAATTGACTTCATTTTGTTTCTGCAATTTGTTTGAAATGATAATTTGCTCAGATATTTACTAAATAATTGAAATGTGTGCTGAGTCACATTCTGATTGCCTAGAAGGCTGTTATTTTATAGTTTTATGTAGTTCCTCGTGCTGTTTACATCTAAGTCGAAATAAATGTCGTCTGACTACTATTATTGGTATTAAATCTAAAGCACATGTGAAGCTTGTGACAATATTTACTTGTTCCTTGATTCGGATTCTCCATTTGTTGTCAACATGATTCAATGTTCTTAAACGCATGGATTTATATTATAAACTGGTCGTTCCCCATCCATCGTCTGTAGGGACTGACTTTCACTTTGGTCCCAGAGAGGGCATATTTACAGTTTTTTCTAACCTTCGAAAATAACGCAGGCCTGTAGTTAGCTGTGCAACAAAGTTTGTCGGACTATGTTTCGTAACAATACTTTGTATCAACAGCTACTGTTTCGACATACCGATTGAACTGTTTATATTATTAACCCGTTCGAGTTATGTCACCTCAAAATACTTTTTCCTAGATTTCCTGGTACTCTAGTTATCAGAGTATTCTATGGTTTTAAGTGTTGAGCCGTGTTTTGCTGAAAATGCAAGTATGTATCGTTAGTAAGGTATCTTTTTTCTCAAGGCAGTAACCACCGAGACTTAGGGACTGAAACAACAGTCATACTAAAATTGTGGTTTTGTAGTCATGAACAATTTTAAAGTTGGGTTTTAATCTATGACATTCAAAGTTCCTTGAAAGGTTGTGTGAACGAACGTTTGTACCTTAGGTGTGACAGTTATGCAAAAGTATCCAATATCCTCCGTAAGTACTCTAAGGAATTCAAAAATGAAAGTAACCCGCACGTGCCACCAGTAGTCTAAATATATCTCATTCGTCTTCCTTATCTTCGTCCTTTTCGTGAACGTTATCTCTCCTGATTGTCAACATTACCGGTTATTTCTGACTTCTTGCTATGTGCTTGTTGGCGTAACCACTTGGTGGTATATTATTTTTAGTTTTCTGTAATTATCTCTCCACTGGCCTTTGGGAACCACTAATATCGGGATCCAATGCCAAAAGACAAACAACACTAATAACTAGTGTCCAATCAAAGCATCCAATACAGTCCTACAGGAGGTCAATCGTGACCCCGAATCGCTCGGTGGTAACATCTCTGACTGCAGCACTGGGTGAAGTGGGTTCGAATCTCAGAAGGGACATGAGTCCCTTCAAGGTTGCAGATACACCTTGTTGACTGGTGAGTGCCAACTAGCACGAAACCTAAATCCAAGACTTCCTACCGATTGCCTGCGACCATCTAATATCATCAACTTAGATTATTGTTGTGTTGTTTTCAATTTGGTGTAGCATTTTGATACATTATTTGTACAGAAGAGATGAATAGGTGTGTCAACGTCAGAAGATGCAGATGTGACTGGAAGTATCTGGGATGCTAATTTTTGTCAGTAATACACAACAGTCTGGAGAAGTAAGACAATACAATTAAGATGATTAGTTTTGATATACTTTACTTAATCTTTGTGCTGTACTAGGTCCTAGAATGCTGTTATGTTTATATATACTTAGTACTGTACTTAGAAGTTCTCGTCGCTTGATTAACGTATTCTTCATGAATTCGCTAGAACGTTTATTTATAGTCTTAGATAAGCAAAGTAGGTCAGTCAGGAATATTATAAACCTCCATCACCTAAGTTGACTAGACTACGTGTTACTCATGTTCATCCATTGTCTACCGTTATGTGACATATTGACAGAAGTACAGTCACATTAGTAGGTAAATAGGGGCCAAACCAAGACATGATGCTGCTTATCAATGTGAGTTGTGTGGATTGGTGTAGTTTGTCTAACTGGAATTCACATGGCCTACGTAACCTATGGTTCCAGAGACTATGTGGTGTAGTTGCATTCACATCCTATATTCACTTCAGTTTTTTAATCTCATGCTTACATTTTCCATTCTGCTTTTATGTTTCTTATATTTTAGTGATGTTTTCAGCAACTTGGATCAGCTAGCTGGTCGAATGCAGGCTAATCGGTTGCCTGGTCGATCTAATGATATTGGTTTGCAGAATGCTTTATCTTTATTTAACACTCTTGAACAATTGGAATTCAGTCGTAATAGTTGGCCTTGTGAATCTTCTCTGTCTCAACACACTGGGGTTGATGACCAGGAATCTGATAAGCGTCGCGTTGATTGGCTAATTGATAGAATCGAGGCTGAACGTTGGAGTCATCGATACTGGGAACGCACTCGTACTGTACTTGAGGGATTATTGGCCTGTTCTGCATTTAGACGGTAGGTCGAATTGTTGTTAAAACCATCAACTTACGGTATGTGGATTATGCACTGCAGTCCTTTTGTTTCCGTGTCACCCTAGTTAAAGTGTCATTTTTAAACTATAATTCCTACAACATAGGGTCTCTTGTTCATTAGATATTTAATTCCAGTCAGGGGAGATCACTCAAATCCAACCTGACTATTTCTGTCAAATTGTAAAATATGTGAACGCCTTACGTTTCCATGAAAGTCAGCTTACGATCGAAAATGTATATTTAAGGACAAGATATTGTAGGGGAAACATTTGTAAAAATAATTGTCTACGCAATGTGGTATGGAAATCACCATTTAGATACAGGACTTCAATTTCATCTCAGTGGCAACTTGTTACTAGTCTACTCCGATTCCTGTGTTGGTAGAATCAGAATTAAATTGGAAGCACGCAAATGGTAGTTGAACTAAGATATAATACCGGTCCAGAAAATCATTATGTACTGAAATTTAGATCGTGTGGTTGGCTTTCACAATACAACCGTAATCGATTGCAGAGACACAAACGCATTTGTATCGTATCATTATTAACAATACCTCTGCATACTTTACCATTTTCTCCTTTGCCCAATCCTATTTACTTGGTATTTTTCACGTCGCTTTCTCCTACCCTATAGAGTTAAGTAATTAGTAATGCTGAGTACTTCGTTCAATTGACCATTCCGGCTAAACCTCTTAGATAGAAACCATAAAATAAAAAGAATGCCACATTCACATAACTACTTGCTATCTTAAGAATTATCTCGAACTCCGACATACTGCTCCAAAATTTGTTTAGGAGTAATTAGTTGTGATAAAAATGCGAATAAAACAGACTGAAACCAAATTAGAACCACTAAGTGAGTAACACCAAGATTAGAAAGTTTTTCTGCTGATAAAATTATATTGGTTCATAAATGTTTGAAGTAGCATCTACTGAATTAGTTGGGATATGTTTTACTCATCTGGTAAATAATCTTGTCGATATTATAAAGCCTTAGTTGATTCAGTCTAATATTATACACATATGTGGTCTGAATTTGCTTCGTAATTATTCTTTTCAGATCTCATTTAAATGCTGATCACTCACGTAGGAGAACAGACTTTTTAAATTCAGTTAATCGAGATTATCGTGCTGATATGGAACATATATTCAATGAATTAAATATGAATTTACCAGATCTTACCATCACTATAATTGAACCGTCATCCATAGTATCGGTTGTACATTTGAAAGTAAGTTTATGTCTCTAATATATATATATATATATATATATATATATATATATATATATATATATCATTATTCTCCCTAATTCTTCTGTTCAAAATTGTCTGATATTTCTTTCCTTTAAAAGTATTTTCATTTAGTGATCTTATCAAATGGTACTTATAGATGTTGCTTGATTAGGGTACAGCAGTACAAAATAATGTGCCCTACTCCAACTTTATAGCATAATTATGTACATTTAGGTAACAAACGTAACAATAATCTCAAGACGCCCAATACAAAACCAAAAATTACTAGTATTAGATAATTCCATAATCCTATAGCAATATACTTCATGAAATGACATTTGTTAAGTTAATCAAGCTTAAGTGATATACCATTATGGGTAAATTTTTATTTTTGATAGAGTCTCACAGTGTTATACAGTAATATTTACTGATGACGTTTGGAGCACAAACTATTGCTCATAATCATATCAAGTATAAGTGATATAATTTATCAGGTTTACTTGTCACTAATTATGACACAGATTATGAATGTTGCAACCCATGTTATTAGCAGTTCCCATAAATTTATTAAAACCACCAACTTGACAATAATAATCTGAGATTTGATTAAATACAAAGATGTTTATTTAAAAAAAATTAATTAACAATAATCTCTCGATAACTATTATCGGTAACACATGTCATTCATTTAACTTGTTGTCCTTGAAATTTTTAATATCCTTTTACACTATCTTGTGCTTACGCCTTCACATGAATCTGCCATAGATTAAACTGTTCAGCTGAAAGTCTCCCTCAGGCTGAGCAACTAAGTGCCATCAATCAGCACTCACACGATACACAGAAGATCCATTCCGGGTAATTTGGTTTGAATAACAAAAACTTACTGCTAACAGATGCCAGTCAAAGTTATCGTATTAAGTATTCTTTTGAAGAATAAAGTTTTGTTATTTTGAAATGTTAGATATCCTGTGAGGATTATTATAAAGTCTCCTTAAGGAATGTTAGCTATGACATGTTAACAATAGGAAGGAGTTTTTTTCCTATTGACTCTAACCAGTATGTTCTTAGAAGTCAGTGGATAGTGAACACCTTTCACTTGTCGTCATCAAGGAATTTAGACAGGAAAGTACTCTCTAGTCAAAACTGATCATGAAATCGTATTTGTTTATATTTAATATCAGGCTTAATGTTTACCTGCTATAGAGGTACATGTGCAAAATCTTTTTTTTAATTGACTGACTTGAATTAACTACTAGTGGTATAAAAACTGCATTTTATTTTGGCTAAAACAAATGCTAACGTAGTCTAGAAGATGAGGGATATCGACGAGCAAAGAAGCTACGCGTACATGCAAAGGTAAGTATATATCCTCCAACTCCCAAGGTACTTGTCCTACATAGACTAGACAACTGTCCCAAAGGTGAATCAAGACAACAAATTGATCGTCGAAAATAAGAAATACGTATCGTATCGGGATCAGGAATGTAGAGCGACGATGTCTGCTTAGCTAGGGTGTGTGCACAAACTATGGAACATAACACAATAGCGTCCCAGGTGGCGTGGATACTTGGGCGCACAGCCTCAGCCTAACCAGTCGACTTAAACAGTGGAGATCTGCATCCATTGTTGAGTGACGAAGGATGTGCACTAATCATTTTTGGGGAATTGTTTGTCACTACATAACTCCAGTGTGTTTAAACTAAGTGGAGGACAAGTGCAAGCCTTGCTGGTGCAGTTGATATCTACTTTGAAATCGCGAGGATGATGGAAATGATTTACATGGAAAGCAGTACTGGTAAAAGCACTGATCATGTTGAGCGGTGAAGAAATGTCGTTTAGTAATTTAGGGAAATTATTTACCTCTTTAGTGGCGCAACATAAAAATGACATTCTGCTGGACTAATCCCCCGTGCTGTCGTCCCGTAAGCTTCCAATTTAACTAATCTTCTGTCATAGGATTGTTTGTAGTAAACGTTTTACAGGGATAGCTATTAGAAAGACTAGTGGATCTTGTGAAAGAGAAATATTAATTGATGAAGGTGATAATATAACAAAAGTGGTAGTCAAATAGCATAAAAGCTCAGTATTAGTACTACAAGAATTTTACGAAATTTTTTAAGCGCGAAGTCTGGGTTTTTCGTATTGTGACACTTTTACGTGACTTTTCTACACCTTTTAAGTCTAAAATTTTCCTTCAAAAACTTTGTATTTCGTTCATTTTAGTCCTCCTGTGTGCGCTTTCACTCATATTATACACATATTTATGAAAGCATTCTACCCAGAAGTAATAGAGGGAAAATAAACTGAAGGAGTATCATTTTATTAAACTATACTTAGATTCGTATGACTGATAGTCGCAGCTGTAGAAAAATAAGTGTAAAAGATGAAGTTACGTGATGATTTACACATAAATGACGCTGACGTTTTCGCAATGAATTAATAATATTAGAAATAAGAGAATCATTCAATGCAATTTCACTACGATATTTTCTTATCATGCGCCATTAAGCATATGAACTCTGATTGGTAAAGGGTGGCATTCAGCACCTCCAGATCTTACAGCCTGCGCTTAAGGGATGTTGTACACTTACACTTTATTTTTGTATTATCGAATAAATCTCTCCATTTCTATTTATAGGTTGGTGAAGTGATGCAGTGTTACGTGACTTTTCGTCAGCTAAATCCTGAAAGAATTATTGTACGTGGAATTTCTGAACCAATGCTTGCAGAAATGCATTCCGCATCTCCTGTTGATAAGTTAAACATAGAAGAGAGACCTTTATCATTACCAGCAGAAGAACTTTTGGCGGATTCGGAGTGTGGTTCGTCAGCACAGATTCGTGAACTCGTTGTTGCACTGTTAAGTCCTGATTCCAGAACGCGACCGATTTCAGATCACAGACAACAAAGAGGCCCAAAACTTGTCCGCTTTTGTACACTTAACCAACATAATTTGGATCTTTTTACACCAAGCCGTCACCCATTGTTTCAGCGTATTACTTCTCTGGCACAATGTGCACTTCTTCACTTTACCAATGAATACAAACCTCCGTCTGCTATTCGTGGGTTCTTTTCATGGTTGCATAGTTATCGAGATTTATTCAGTGCCCCATGCAGTCGTTGTGGCCAACTCTTAGGTCAAGGTGTTGAACTTCCAGTGTGGCGTAGTTATCCTCAAATAAGGAAGGATGATCCTCGGTCTATGGAACCACATCACGAACAGTGTCAAGCTATTTTGTAAAGAATTATTACTTTTCATATTTTTATACATATAGTATCTTCACTATTTGACCGGTTAATTATTTACTGACTTCTAGAATAATTTTCAAGTTGTGCTTTCTTAATTGTTTTGGATAACTGATAAAAGGTGAAAATAGGGACCAAGGTTCACGTTATTTTTCACTTCTGTAATATGTCGTCAATAAATCACGAAAGTGGCTTGCATTTAATAGAGGCATCAGTTCACAAATAAGAATATATAGATACAATAGTTGCACCGTTGCAAACAAGTCATCGCAAAAATATGTAACTTAATGCACTTATAACAACAGGACATTTATGACAACGTATAAAATAGACGTAAAAATATCGAAAGGATAATGTAAGTTGACTTGCTAAGACTAAACTAGATAAAAATGCTAGCCATAAAATTTGTGGTAGGCTAAACAAAATAAGCAACGGCTAGGGTTAATGCTAATTTTACAGGCAAATATATACACATCTTAAAATGAAGAACTAAATTAGATATTATAATAAGTTATGAAATCAACTGGTCGCTTGCAAATGAATTTTAACGCCAAAGCAAACTGGAACTGCGTTGTTAGGAAACTACGCATCATAGTTTTGCAAACTTTTGGTTTTACAGATTGAGGCGAAGTATAATCTAAGTAGCCTGTTAGAAAGCAACATACAATTGCTGAATTTTAAAGGTTTATGGAAAGTTGCATATGCAGTCACCTTATTGTACCGCTAATGGAAATATCCCTTCAATTTTTTTAGCATGTCATGTGTAATACTATCTAGGCCCCAGTGATGTTTAATACTAACTAAAGGAAATGAATAGCCCTTGAACCTTTTGTGATTGTGATGAATTCTAAATCCAGATGAAATATACTAGATAACTAGCGAGGTAAAGGAGTGCGTCGGCTGGGGATCGAACCTCTGACCACATGCGTGGTTGGCGAGCATTCTACTGCTCAGCCACCGATAGAACAAAATAGTAGCCAGTTAATTTTGATTATCAACAGACTGTATATAATATGTATGGTCAGCAGAAATGAGATTAAATAATTCAGCGAAGTAATCGTGTATTAATAGTCGGTAAAAGTATAGATCACAAGGAGTGAGTTGAGCTAAGTAGTGCGATGGATGGGAACATCACAAAGAAATAAAACAAATGGATTTCGCCCAACATAACTTAATGGAATGAGAAATAGCAATAATAATGGTAGCCTACCTCCATCGCCTCAATTTAGTATATTTGATGTGAATTGGATAGTGATATAACCATCGACAATGCAAATTTTTAAGGTTAACCTGGGAGTTTATTGATGACTATCTATTAATAAAAAGAGAATCACTTATGTTGACGTACATCAGTGCAAATATATACGGTAGGTACCATAACATTCCGACGCACTGTGGAGTCTCAATGACAAAAAGAATTCGGTAACCAAATAATTTTAGCTTACGAGATATGTTTCCACTTGCATCTAAAGGTATAGCAGCGAGAAAAAGTGAAATGGTGTTAAGACAAAATTTCAATTGTAAATTTGCGGGCATTTAACTGATTTTAAGTCGGACCACAAGTTGAAAGTAGCTAGAGAGCCATTAAAGACCAGGGTATACTGGGCAGTATTAAGGAGATGGTGACTGAGTGTTGAATTGAAAATGAACTTTCTGTGACATCAGTCTTGTGTTCACCGAGTCGTTCAATATGTTTTCTTACTTTAGCCACAGACTGTCTAGTGTACGAAAATCCTAGGCATTGTGGCATTTTTCGAGTTACATTAGACCTTTTTCAATGAGATTGCAGGTTAAAATGCTAGCTTTGTCAAGATTCTTACGTGATTTCCCAAACATTCCTTTTTTATGAGGCAACTTTTTGAAGGTTTTGAACTGCCTTAATTGTGTTGCAATTAACACATACGTTAATATCTATTCGGTTTTCCGAACTCTACAAAATTCAAGAGGAAATCTATTGAGCGTTAGTGTAGCCGTTTAACAAGTTTGAATTCCATACTAAAATTATTTGGATGACTAGTCCAAGCCTTCAACATCTCACCAAGCAGATGATATAGTACTTTTAGGTGAAGACGCTGACAAAATACAGAGTCTTCTGAATACCTTGAGCTGTAATCTACGAATATTCGACATGTGATACGCTCCCGCCAAGTGTGAGATGATGCTACAGAACTGGACTACATTAACTAACTCCTAGCTTAGAAATAAGGAGTGAAGTGGTAGAGCACGTTGACCGCTTCACTTATTTGGGAAGTTGCATCAGTCGGCTCCAACGGGTTGGTCGCTGACGAAAAGGGGCCTGTGTACTGCTCAGTAGTCCGCTCCGTCCTCCTTTACGGCTGTGAGACCTGGCCATTGAGAGTGGAAGACATGAAAAGTCTGGCTAGTTGTCTTCGATCATAGGTGCCTGCATTCTATCTCTCGTGTGAAGTGGTATAATAGGGTGAGCAATATTGAGGTTAGGGAAGGTCAATCGATGAGGTTTTGAAGTTACAGCTACTGAGAAGGCAAAGACACGTGTTACGCATGTCTAGCAAACGCCTTCCTCGACGGACAGTGTTAGCTGACATAGGATTAGGTTGGAAAAGAGCCAGTGGTGGTCAAACCAAAACATCAGTCCACGAAATTCTTGATAGTTAGTTTGAGCCACACAGGAAGGTGTAGAATGCCTGCTTGGGGTCCTCGGGACGATAAGAACCAATGAAGGCTGGAAACATTCGGTGATATGGCTCAAAGTCGTCCTCAATGGAGAAGATGCATTCACTATGTGATCTGCCACATCCAATGAAACCCTACTGTTTTTCCACGTTACTATTCTTTCTCCCTCACATTTCTGCTTATTATCGTCATTTCAAATTCTATTTTTCTTCTTTTAGCAGCTTGAACTGCTGCGCTTTTTTTGCAAAGTTCAATGTTGAAACTAGTCAGTCATAAACAACGGGCACGTAGGTACTGAGTTTTACATTAAATCTATTTAGTCGCACATTTGTGCGACCATTAAAGCCGATGCCAGTAAAAATTCAAATTTATCAGTTTAATGATCAAATGTTCATCAAACTATTCTTCTAAAATTTACGTGTAAGAACTATCGAGTCTCAAAAACAACGCCCCAATATTCACCTGCATTATTTTGTCCTAAGTGCATCTTATACTTAAATAGTTATCCTATGGTGGATATTAAATAGCACTGTACGTTTAAACGAAGTACATTTTCACGGAACATTCACTGAGTAAGCGTTGCTTTGAAAACTATTAGAAATAAAAAGTATGTGACTTTATTATACAAAACTGCAGTTTCTACTTGCTATACACAACTAAATCATTCACGATCTCATCACTTTATTCTGTTTTGAAGTTTCAGCTTCTAATTTCTTCTGTTTTAGATAATCTTCCCGATTTTGGAGGAATTTAGCATATCCACTAGGCGTATAATCAACTCGACCAGAATTAATATCTTCGGGTGACAATACCTCAATACCCAAACGATGAGCTGTACCAAGCAACATTTTGCAAATATCTTCCAAACTTTTTGTTAATAAATTAGGATCTTGTTGTTTGAGCTCAGCAATATGATAAATATGTTTTAAAGTTATACGTCCACATAGTTCACTGCCTACAAAGATTGATAGGAAAAAATGTAGAAATTATTTTCAAATGAAAAGTTTGCTGTAATATTTGTGTATTCGAAAAACTTGATTGATGGGAAGTCTAGGCAGATAAATTGAATAAAACACGAACAAATCAACCAACTACACTTATGCCGAGGTAAACTAATAAGAGTTAGGACATAAATAAAAGAGTGTTATTAGGTTTACACATTTCGTATTCGACATACAAAATTAAAGACCTGTGAAATGGTCTTCTAGTCTTTCCTCTAAAAAAGAAGTAAACTGTTAATGGCTGTACCAGCTAAATTCTTGAACCAAAGTATTTCGTTTCGTTGAGTGATAAAAATAAATTGATACACCGGTGTACAAGCGAAAACTTTGGTATTGAAAGAGACCAATAAGAATGATTTCGGAGACTACACAACCCGTCACTCTGATTCACTCAACAGAGATGTTAATCATAAGACTAATTTTTTTTACTCAACTTTAATCATTTTAAGGTGTTTATTATCAAGGGGGATAGATAATACGTTTGAGAGAAAACTCTATGAACACATCGGTAAAAGGTTACAAATACGAAAATAATTCTGTATAATGATCTGAGTAGTAATCTTTACAACGTATTCTAGGCAGATTCTGTGTACTACAAACCAACATGATGCCTTATATAAAAATAGCCAAGTTGGGATTAATTTCCTTAAAAATAGCCTTAAGAGTAAGTTATAAGATGTCGAAATAAGGGTTAAAACGGATTTTAATTAAAGTAAACAGTAGTAACATACTCAGACTTTAGATAAGAAAAGTAAATGTATCTGTGACAACGAATTTCCTGTGTCGTATGAAAATTCACAGTGCGTGATATCCATTTCAACTTCCTATCATGATTTCGCCTCACAATGTGTGTAAAATTTCATCCTATCTAAACACTTTTCACCCAGTAGTTCTGGTAAAACAACTGATTTCTATCATGACAGAATTCCAGTACACTTAAAAGTAGTTATTTTGATTGGGAAATAATACACGTAGAAAATCAAAATAATTAGAATTGTCAGTTTTACGAGTGAATAGTATGTTAAGCAAAATCTACTCCTAGCGAGGAGTACAACCATGCCTAGGTGAAATCTACCTTTCGAATTTATTACGAACGACTGCAATAAACGTTGATGAAACCCATTCCTAAGCCATAATTTAGCACCAGATATGTGTAGAATGCATGTCAAACATTCCTAGACTTCTGAAGAGCATAGATAATATCTCTTTTGTTTTACATAGCAACATTACCTAACGTTGATATTTCAAGAAGGCAAATTAAACTTTATTTTATGCATAGTGCAAACACTTGACCGACCAAACATTCGGATATCCTTAGGAATCTTAGGATCTCTAATGATATGCCATAATACTTGATGAAACGCCACGCCCTAAACGGTTGTAATCGATTTTTCTTACAAGTGTGCACTTCCGGATATTTCGTTCCAAAGCAACCGAAAGTTTGGCAAACAAATTAGACTATCTACAAATACACGTTTAGTAAAGAAAAGAAACGACAGTTGATTTACCATCTACAATGAAAATCTGTAGCATTTTAACACACCAAACTCCGAAATAAAATAAAGGAGAGGACTGACCTGGCAAAGAAGCACCCTTTTTAGCAGCTGCAGCCATTCTCAACAAATGCATAGATGATGGGTGACTTATCACTAAATCGTATGATCGATCGGGCTAAAGAAATAGTTCCAAATAAAGCATTACCTTGACAGAGATAAAACAAGGCAATGGGACTCCTTCCATAATATCTTTAGTTCTCTCATTGAAATCTTTGCAAAAATTGGCAATATTTACGTTCCGCTAATATGGATGTATTTAAATGATTACTGAGAAACAGAATAGAACTCACTCGACCTAACTGTGGTCCTAAAGGTGGAGCAGGTCGAGCTTGTTGTGCTGGTATGATTATTTTGAGAAATGGTGAGTGAACTATAGCCTCTGCAGTAGTTTTGGCTTTGCGAGCAACTTTCATGCCTGTTCGAGAAGCCATAGTCTACAATTAATTCGAATAAAATCAGTAATAAATATGAAAGCAGTACATAAAAAGTGCTGTGAGTGACACGAATATGAAGTAATTCCACTGACATCACATAACGGTTTTGGGCTGTGTCTGAATTAAAAAACACTGGTGTCATTCATAACATGTTATCCCATCACCAGACAGATTATCAACTTAATCGCAAATGCTGTCATGTTAAATTCTACATTAATTCAGATGTGCCAAATCCTGTGAAAAAGTGTTCTGATCAAATATATATATATATATATATATATATATATATATAAAGTAGACCATGAAGAAAGATGTACTCACTTGTTCAGTAAAGGTCAGATACATGGAAGCTATGATTTCGATTATTTGACGGATCTGATGCAGTAGTTCCCACACAGCAAGCCATTTTATAACTTATAGTCAGTCTTCTGATTAATTTGAAGTCATTTTCTCAATTGTATTGATATACTACACATCCATGTACTAATTTTGGACGGCATACTGGATAAATATGGACTCTAAGTTCAGATGAAACAATATTTATGAAACCACCGAGCTCTAGGGAATTTTTCTAGTTTGTTAAGAACTAATGAAATAATATTTATGCAAAAATTAGGAGTTAAAGACGCATGAGCAGGAAAAGACGTAACAGCATTATGGTCCACATCTGATCAAAGTGAGTGGAGAAAAAAATAAAGTGAAAGCATGCTCAGGAGGGTGCTATAAAATTTCAGATAGGTGCTGTCACGGAATAGTGGTATTTAAATCTCAGTAAAAAACCTATGGGTAACCAGAAAACGTTCAACTCTAAGTTAATCTTTACTGTAGCTACCCATGCGAATAACCATCGTAATGCCTTTGCTATAATTTGGATTAAACTGCCTTAATTCTGCTTTTATAGTTGAGCTACTTTGTGTAATCTTTTTGATGGATACGCACAAATTCAATGACCGACGCTTAACTGTGCACCACACGAGCTCCAAATATTAGCTAGCAACAAATAAATGAGACACAATAACTTGCAAAGCATGATACACAATCTGGTTTTCAACTGCTAAGTTAATAACAAATTATATTAACAAATACAACGGAAACTTCATGACTACATACTGAACTTAAAGTAACGGTACCTTTCGAAATAGCTTCTAGTTATTTCCGAGACTCAATGTCTCCAATTGTAGTGAGGAGCTTTGGAAGACAAAATAATTAAATTAATCCTGAAAAATTATGCATGCTTCTGACAAGTTAGTTGTGACTCTAATGCAAGTTCTATTAATTTCGCTGACCATTTCGTGAAAGCAGAAGTAACTATTTTATCTGAGTGAGGATTTCCAAGCCTTCCATGATGCTGTCTTTAGAAATTAGTCAAGGAAGGACGGAAAGCTCTAAGCAAATCAATATGCAAGCCGTTAAGACATCAAATTTCCTGCTCTGTGATTATGAGAATGGTTCAAAATTTCCTTTAAAGCTTTGATAAATAAGATGTTAAACTTCCATCTAAGCCTTCAAGAGGGGATTTTCTAATTGTCGAAATTCAAATCCAGCTTTTTGCTCTAAATGCCTAAGATTCAATTGTTTGGATTTGATTTTTGTTGTAATACAGTTTGCTTTATCAACGAATTCAGAGGACCTGCAAATTGAGCACATTATTACTAAGTGTGAACGATAGTTATATTGCTGAAAAATGAGATGCGGCAGTTGAACAATCCGTTCATTAGTGCTATCCATATTACACAGCAAGGCATTATGACCTTCGATTCTCTGGGTACTTGAACTTGAGATGCATATATTTCTGTGAAGAGTTAATTGATATTAGTAGTCGGAGGGACAACGTTAACAGGACTAAACAATTCATCAGGTCTCATGCTACTGCCCCGTCTGAATTTTCTTCTAAAACATGAGCCATTCCATTGGCTTTACCTGTGGTACGAATCATTCTCTATTTTGAATTGCCTCTAGATATCCCATAGTGGATTAATTCAGTAACCTCCCAGCCTTATAATGTTAAATATTTGATAAGCCTATATTTGCTTTTATGCGCGACAAAGTAGCACTTTTCAGAACAGCATGTAGCTACTCAAAACGTATAGAATTCAGCGATTGAGAATTACATTGCATCTGTGGCGGTAAATGAATCCTGAAAGTTATTAGTCCGTAGCGTTCTTTATCCAACTTTGGGAACTAACCTTCGCTTTTTAAGTCGACTGGTTCAGTTGAATGTGCTCCGTGTAGCAACCAAACCAATCGGTATCCTGTCGTGTTGTGTCTAGTAGTTCATGCACGAACCCTGGCTAGTCAGGCAATCGTCATCGCTCTACGTTTCTGACCACAGCATATATGTCGTGCTTCGGACAATCAATTTGGTATTTGATTTGTCTACAGTCTCAGAAGAACAACTAATTTGGAAGTTACCGTATTAACACTTCGGACTGTATATGGTGAAATGTCAGCATGCTGAATCTTCTAAATATAAGTGGCTTAACTTCCAAAGTCTGCCTCATTCCTGAGCTGTATATCGCACATGCAACGAAAGTTTCGCACAGAAGTTCTCGATTGTTGAAACGATTTAAGTGCAAGTGCGGTGAAGAACCGGTTAGATTTTGCCATCAGTGGAAGATACTGAGGCTAATCAAAGCTTTATTAAATGATTACGAGGATCATGATTAGGTGGTTTTAATATGAAATGGCCTCATCCAACTCTTGAAGATCTCTCATTTAAGCACAAAGTAACTGCCCCTCGTAACTTCTTCTTTGGGGCATATCCTGCTACTTTCCAATAGTCTGGGGGTGTTTTAGTGGTTATTCAGTAAGCGCACTTCATTTGATTGATATGTATCCTGTTCGTAAGAGAAAATCATTCACTTTTTGTACAGAAATGTAGCTTTTGTTTTGCGACAACGGAATAAACGCACTGAGTGCATGAACACACCTCCTGATATCTTGGTAAAAAGGCTACATACAAGCTAATAGAATTTAAATTCATCTGGCCTAGATTTAATCGTCATATGTGAAATTTGACGTGCTTGTGCTTTTAATGCCACTACAATAAATAATGAAACTATTTTCCCGTATTCATAGGAAATTCCCACTGTGACACAGAAATTCAAACCAAAAACAAGGAGAGAAGTGCGACTGTGAGACTAACAACCCCTTCCCGTAAATGATACACCGCTGCTTCTGTAACTTGTGATCTCTAGCTCGCAGCCCCAGGTTCCACTCGGAACGTAAATGAATAAAACATTAACAAAATATAGAAAATCTAAACAAGTGATTCAGCGAAGAGACTCTTTTCGACGAATTTATTATCAAGCTGTACAATCGTATATATGTACATCGTTTTTGGAAATTATATGCGGTGACGGAATTGAATCATGGGTGTGAATGCATAAATTAATGAAAGTAGTATGAAATGCAATTATAATGTTTGTGATTGTAATTATAGTTAAATGTCAGGTGGCAAAACAAATAATGTCATACACAGAATAATTCATAGGAACTTGAGGCTGCGAGCTACACATCGCAAGTTACGATAGCAGTGGTGTATCATTTACCGGTGAAGTCGCTAGTTCTACAGTCGCACTTTCCTCCTTACGGGCCTTACTATCACCCTAGCAATGCTAAGGGGTGCACTGGCCCAAAATCTAGCCTCAGACCACATTATTTTCCGTCATATAGGTGTATACTTTTGAACAAAACGTTTTTGGTAGATTTTCCTTGTTGCGATCCCCAGCATTCTTGCTTTCCTTTCTAGTTGGGACTAGCCTTGAACAAGAAGCAAACAAAGCACGAGATCCAACTGATCAACATCGATAAAGCGATGTACGTACACAAATCAGCATAAGTAGACAACTAGTTGGCAATCCATCAAGCTGATCAGAAGAGTTTTATTAGTGTTTACACTGTTAGGTTTGGACTTTCGGCTGGTTTCGTCTTGGGGTCTTTAAAACCCCACCAGGAGGGAGTAAGTTGCAGTGGTGGTTTATTCTCCAGAATTATAAGCCACAACATTCATCCATCAACACTGAATCCTGATCCTTATTGTTCAGGCGGATTTCTTCAAATGAAGGCTCACTGTCAAGCGTCCACACCATTTGGCACACTGTCGTGTAACGTTCGGCCGTTGATGCGCGATCCCTAGCAGTTAAGCCCGCACTACGATTTAGCCCCGGAATATACTTCTTAATTCGGACGATAAATTCTGGTGTTCTGCTTTGTCTTTGATCTCCACGGTACGAATGCTATAGAAGTTGTGGCTATCAGATTTTGGGTCAGTATACATCGTACTATCCGAGAACGTCAACACCCTTGGTCTCTAAAATTCCTTAACCTTACGTCAAGCACCGAAACAGTCTGCGGTGTCTTATCTAGAGATGGTTTGCACACTTTAGATGGTCTTCCATAGTGACAGTCAACTGAAAGCAAAAGTTTCGTTCTGTGACATTTGAGAAGCTTTGTGACGTGTCGCAATGCGGACTTACTTGAACTACTGGAGATCATCTATTCGCTAGTGACTTAGTAGAATGCATTTTTGTTATATTGGGGATTCACTTATGGTTGTCGTTGGCGGTTATAGTCCTCCTCAGTCTCAAACTGGACATGCAGTGCACGTTGGCGATATTGACTTACGGGAACACATTCCGCTCACCTGAAGTGTTTATAGCTACGGAATTTTCACAGCTATACTAATAATCGTATTCGCCTGATGCGTCAAATACAACCATAACCAAGCCTTGATCAGAGCGGAAAAGTATTATTGGGCTTGAGATTTAAAGATGTTACACACCTATGTATGCATCGTGATGTTGTTTGGAGATTTCTGTAGACTCCTTACGACGGACCATTCAAAGGTATCACCGACCGAATATAGCTTCAATATGCAGTAGGCGTTTTTCGTTAAAAAGCAGCCTAATTAGATGCGGAATCACTGCACTCTACATCTTCGCGACTGGAAATGACCTTGCCGATAGACCACGAATGAGATTCAAGTACTTGCGAAATTCCTGGACTATCTAAAAGCATGAGATAACCTCTACATGCAATAATAGGCATGTGTGCTGACTTAAATGGTGTGTGTATTTTGTACTACAGACACGTTGAAAATTTTATATCCTTACATTTCGCAAGTACTTTACCCACATGCCCAAAAATCTATTTGGAGGAAGTCGGTTTTCATTCACATTTATCATTATATACTTAAATTTTAGTTTTTGTGGTACAGTATTAACGAGATTATGAGAACCGCAAGCTATCGGTACTCAGCGGTGCCAACTAGGTCTTCTCAGGCCACTAGTATACCGATTTCCCGTTGCGCACTCTCCTCGCATAATAGATGTTGGTAGGGAAAAGTGGTGGGGCTTAAACACTTTACATCAGTGTGAGGATTGCATCTAGACTCTTTGTTTCGTTTCCTCATAGGTGTAAATCGTTACAATAGCGCAGGAGGCCAAGTTACCTAAGCTCTGTTTATCGCAGGGAGTCTCATGCGTTTGCGTCACATTTGCCTCCCAAGTTTCAGGGTCATTGGTGCCAGCCAAAACTTCTATGGGAGGATAACCCTATAATGCACCTTCAGTACCATCAAAACACAAATAAGTCAACGATAAATAGATTTCATTAAATTACTAAACAGGCTTTCAGCTATCGTACGGATATCCAAGGCGTTTTAATTTCTTTTTGAAACAGATACACGTCGTTTTATGCTTGCTGATATGTATATTCTCAGAGTCCCTAGAGCAGCCACTTGGCTGGATAAGTTCGCAGAATTGGTTGTTATCACTAAATATTCTTAACATTTATCACACTAAAATGCATTGCTTTTCAGTGCATATTTCCAAGCAACTGACCAATTTTGATTCGTCTCTTGTTACCGGTAGTTTGTGAAAGACACAAATTTGATTGGTACTTGAACACACACCGTGTTTTGAATAGCTGATAAAGTGTAAAACATTGACACCACAATCAGTACGTTTTAGACCGTTCAAAATGCATACTCCAGTAGCTATATTTTATAACATCCACGAACGGGTATGTGTAAAATAAAATATCACAGCTGATAAGATAATAACAAGCATTTCGGGCTGTTTTGACAGCAGAAAGCTGTGCAATAGGACTTTTATATGTGAGTTCACATAGTTACAATTATGATTTAATTGAATACAGTAACGAATGGAGGTTAAGAGAGAAACATCCCAATTCATCCGAAAGTTGTCTAATTACCCCTGGTTATCAGTGACTTCCTGACTGAAATCAGTCCTTGATCAAACTACGATATTATAAAAATGTAAATTACAGGGTTCGCAGTTGCAGTTAGACTTATAGATAATCATGTATCTCCTGGAAAGCTACCGTAAATTATGTTTTAGGAAGCTGCTCTTGTCATTGTCATACCTTGTTTTAATTATTTGACTGATATCAGTTTGATATATGACATGATGATATTAGATAGTTGCAGGCAATCGGCAGAGGCCTTGGACCTAGATTTCGTACTAGTTGGCACTCATCAGCAAGGCGTACCTGCAACTTTGGAGGAACTAATGTCCCTTCTGAGATTCGAACCCGCGTCACCCAGTGCTACAGCCAGAGACGTTGCCACTCAGCTAATCGGGGTCGCGATTGACCTCCTGTAAGACTGCAGAGGTTATTTTGATTGGACACTAGTAAGTAGTGCGACATGTCTAGTTCTTTTTTTCTGGTGCTGACTGAATTCTGTCAGTCAGGTTTGCAATGTGGCCATCATTCTAGGTAGCACGCCATCACGATGCAAATTGATTTGATGATATTAGATAGTTGAAGGCAATTGGCAATACGATATGCAAGTTTTGATACTGTTGAACTAAACAGCTACTTTTATAACCTAAACATCTGTCACATACATATACTACTGTAACATTTGATGTAAAATAGTTAAAGGTACTTCTATATACCTGAATTAGTATGTTATATTTAATTTTTGATAAATTTACATCAGATAAGATAAAAGCTAAAGATTAAATTATCAAAAAGATACATATTTTAGACAGTTACAAGGAAGTTTTCGCAATATTAATTGAACATTCTTTAGTTCATTATTTGTAATGTATATATATATAAGGCTAAAATGTGACCACTTTATTTTTAATAGTTGAAAGTTAAAGTAGTAAATGCATATAATCAATCAGACAACATTTATAAAATGAAGCACTGAGAATGAATTCATCCTAATTGAAATTTATAAATATGTCATACATAAATACATTGGCGTAAAGAATGTTTTTATATAAAATGGAAAATTGAAACATTGCATAGGATAAGTTTAAACAAAAACAGTATTATAATAATATTGCACATATTTCCTAAACAAAAGTGTAAAAAATAAATGTATATTTAATTTGACATTGTATCTTGAAATCTCAATTTTGGATTAAACTTCAGCAATTGGAATCTACAAAAGGCATAAACGATAATTATGAAATTAAAGAAAGTAGTGATACACTGATCAATAATTTTACAAAGAAATGCAGTAAGAACTATAGGAGAAAGTAGGTTGACCAAGACATCTTTAGTCTGAAATTATGATGATCGAATGAGTTAGAGCTACAGCTCTGAAAACAACGATTTCTACCTAATGTATGTAGCTTGTTAAGTGATGGTAATCTAATAATTGAATAACTGATTTGCTTTTAGGATTTCTCTAATTGACGATTGACAATAAATATGGATCAGTGTAGTTCATAAAACCGAAATTTCATACATTTATTCCCCTTAATGGATTTGAATAAAGCAAGAACAACAATTTTCGCAGAATAAAATGGCACCATCATTTATTTCGTTGGCCCCTCATCAGCTGCTTACAGCCCAAAGTCATTATTAAGTGTATCTACAAAAACTATTTTAACACACTTGCACAGAGTTCACTTTTAAACAAAAATCAAAAAAATATATGGATACAATAATAATAATATGTACACTAATCATAAACACTTAATCCCATAACTATAATGATCATACACAATGGAAACGTTAGGCATTACTTAATGAGATGAAAGAGAGGGTGAAAATATCCAGTTACCAGGGCAAAGAAAGACTGACAAGTGTTTCTTTCTGAATGTATAATTTGGGCTTCAGGCGCTTGATGGAGATTGCTTTGGTAAACTTAAGGTGAGTAGAACTCTTTTGCCCATTGATAATTTTGAACGATCTTGTGACGTCCACCTCATGACCCATGAACATGCACGAAAAATACTATGCCTGAAGGGAACAAATGCATTAAACAGTGCCATCACCAGGTATCTCATTGACATGGGTCATGAGGTGGACGTCACAAGATCGTTCAAAATTATCAAGGGGCAAAAGAGTTCTATTCACCTTAAGTTTACCGAAGCAATCTCCATCAAGCGCCTGAAACCCAAATTATACGTTCAGAAAGAAGCAGTTATCAGTCTTTCTTTGCCCTGGTAACTGGATATTTTCACCTCTCTTTCATCTAATTACGTGATGTCAAACGTTTCCATTGTGTATGATCACCATTGTTATGGGATACAGTATTTATGATTACTGTACATATTATTATTATTGTATCCATATATTTTTTTGATTTTTGTTTAAAAGTGAACTCTGTGCAAGTGTGTTAAAATAGTTTCTATAGATATACTTAATAATGACTTTGGGCTGTAAGCAGCTGATGAGGAGCCAACGAAATAAATGGTGGTACCATTATATTCTGCGAAAATTGTTTTTCTTACTTTATTCAAAATCTGAGAATCTTACATACAGCCTATTGATTTCATCCAGTTTTGCTCTTACATGCCATCTAATTTTCTATAACTTAACTCATACTCCGGTCAGCGTGTTTTGTCTCATAAGATAAATTGAATGCTAAGTCTTAACATCTATAAAGGATGAAATAATTCAATGTGAAGATTCCAAGGGCATTATTACTTCATATTTGTTTAACGGAAAAGGGAAGAATGAAAATTAAGTCCTCACAATAATTACACGACAAGGTGATGACAGAATTAAAAAAAAACTAATTCCAATTATCTCCGTCTAAATTAACTGTCTGAACAGTAACTACGTCATTAAGCTCTTAATTACGAATCGTAATGAACATAATTCGTGATACAGGTGTACTTAGCTGATGAGCTGTTTAACTGACACACTATTAAAGTATCTTAATTTCAGTATTTCAGTTTTCGTGTGCATATCATCAATATATGTACAAATATGTGTGTAAATCGTTTATAAATAGCTGTCATTTGAAAGTATAAAAATTAGTGAGAGATAATACTTAGTTTAACTAACCTTTTCATCTGCCTTACAATGTTTGTGACGATGATGTGTACAATGATTACTATGATGTGGTTGTCGATTTGTTACAGTATTACTAGACAATGAAGGTTTTGCTTCAGGTGAAGACAAGGATACAGGTGGTTCTACATTTTCTGATAAACAGAAACCTTCACCATTCAGTTTATTCACTCGACTTGAACTAGATGAAGGTAATTCCTTTGCATACAATCTGATATAATCTTCTTCATCAGTATGTTTACATTTTTTATCCTTTTTGATATCATCATGATGACAATCTGGTATTGTGTGAGACTGTTGTACATTTTGATTTGCTTCTATAGAATAACCTACAACATTGAAGACAGAATATATATAACAAATATAAAAGACACGGGAAGCACAACATGAAAAAGCGCAATACTGTATAAATTATGTAACTGTAGGGTAGAGGTTTTAGTTATAATGACAGTTATACATCAGTTTATGGGACTAATAATAACAGGAATGTGGATAAAAAAACTCGTTTATTTCTTTAAGTCTTGATAAGCAGAAAAGCTTCAAAATAAAATGTGCACATATTATATAGTCAGCCGTGTACTTCTTGCTTTGACGATGTTCAGGGGAACACGTCGCAAGTGTTGGTTTGATTTCAAGATAGAAATCACATAAATTAGAGCGCTATTAGAAAACAAGTGCTGAACAGTTGTTTACTCCTGGTTTGTAACTCCTCAAAGGTACCCATGACCCTACCAGAGATCCGACCCCAACACTGTCAAGTTTAGAGGTGAGCTGGTTGACTGTTCAGCTGAGACGGAGTACAATGGCTCATGTATTCTGACTTGTGCCAACTTGTTGTCTACTGACTCACCACCAGCCCAACTTGTTCGACGGCACTGGTTATAACTTCTCACTATAACTCAAAACAGCTTGATCCTGTAGTCAGTGACTAATGAAGATTGGACTGTCAGAAGAACCCATAAGCACTTAGATTTCATCTCAGTGGCTGAATGGTCAAAGGGCTTACTCCACCTCATAAATTTCCCGGATTCGACCCATAGGATCGTGTTCCGGAATGAATTCTAAAAATTATATGATTCTCTATTTCAACAGTGAATGTGTTTGTCAACACAGTGTGAAATTTACTAATTATTCCTAAACTTCAAGTGCTGGGATTTTATTTGTTCATTTTAGCTCACAAGCCAACATCAACTGAGGAACCATTGAAAGCTTGAATGTACGGGATAGCTGTTCTGTCCTGGGTTAGAATCCATGTAAATTAACGGGTGCATACTGCCGAAGAATCCCAAACTGGGACGAGAAAGCTATTAAGTACTGCCTAGTTTCTAATAGTTCTCTCATTGATATCAATCCATGATCTAACTTCATGGCATTATCTCACAGAAAGGTGTTAATTATTCTTTAAGTGTTGTTATTTTAAATAGAAAACAAAACGGATTTATAATTTGGAAAACAAAAAGATTGAGGGAAGAAATATTTACTTTTCAATTAGATCCTCTTCTCTGGCTCTACTCTAATATATATAGCATTTTCATTACAATACACAACAGTTTACCAAACAAGTGGCGATATGTCAAAATGTCAGTGGGTTGATAATTAACGAAGAAAAATGCTATATATATTAGAGTAGAGCCAGAGATGGGGATCTAATTGAAAAGTAAATATTTCTTTCCTCAATCTCTGTTTTCCAAATGTCTAAATGGGGATTTTTTCTAGATTTATAATTATCCAGTGGGGACAAAAGTGATCAACTTGATGTAAGTATACAGCTTGGGCACTGTGGTAGAGTGTAACTCCATTATAGATAAGATTTTATTTTAATAAATCGCACTGTGCAGTAGTTTTTGCTTGAAACGTCATCAGTTAATATTACTGTATAACACTGTGTGATTTATTAAAATAAAATCTTATCTATAATGGAATTTTTATACTTATTTTCAGGGAAATCACATTTAGTGTTGGTTATCAAATTCTTCAGCAATGGAGAAATCCTCTAACACCATTGCTGAATTTATCAGAAACCGTCTGAGTGAAAGGTGGTGTTAGAGGTGGATGTCGATTTTTCAGTTGATTTATTAAAATTAAAAAAATGTTAATTATTAATGTGAAATTTATTATTTTTTTATGATCAGTTCAGCTTTTAGAAACTATAGTCTCAATCACAGAATATTTACCCGATGATTGATTAACTTGCAAAGCTAGTGAGAAATAAGCCTATGAAATTCTAAAAACTATTATTGAGACTGTCTGAGAGAACTCTGGATTGTTGCACTGACAACTGCAATATGTGACGATATTTGTAGTTCAGGATATGGTGGTGGCTAAATCGTAGGAATTCCTCCAGTTGATTGGACAAGATGTTCACATGCAATGAAGATGATTATAAAAATGTCACTGGAACTTCTACTTCAAACCAAATCATTTCTAGCTAAACAGATAATTGATATTTATTTGATGTGGTTGTGTTCTCTGAGCTGGATAGTTAATTTGCGAAGCTTTCATCGCCCTACTAGGCGACATCTTCAGCGCATACTTCAATTTGATGAAGTGAGCTTTTAGATTTCTCCACGAGTTTATTAATCATCTCTCTCGGTGACCTTGGACGTGATTGGTTGTTTTTGTGCGTTTTCACACCTTCTAGGCTAATTGTATTGGAACTGATTGTTTCTTTGAATTGAACTTTGACCCTTTGGGTGTGAGGTTTCTTTCTTATCGGTTGATAAATTTTGTCAATCTTGATGTGTCTATTGATTCATGATTCACTGGAATGCCAAGCTTCTAAAAATTCTCTAGCAATTTTGTTGTTTCTTCTGTCTAATATTTGAACATTGTCCCAATCGAATTGATGCCTGTGGTTTTCTGTATGTAGTGATATGAGGGAGTGGATGTCGTGTCTTTTGACGGCTAGCTTATGTTCGTGGATACGAAGACGAAGGGGACGTCCACTTTGGCCAGTGTAGTGTTTTTCGCAGTTGTTACAATTTATCACTTCAAATTAAAGTATGTGCTGAAGATATCACCTAGTAGGGTGATGAAAGCTTCGCAAATTAACTATCCAGCTCAGAGAACATAGCCACATCAAAATCATCCACCTGAGCTACAAATCTTCTCCATCATATCTGATATTTCTTTGATGAGATTATCTTTGAAGTGAAATTGAAAACTTTGTTTGCTGATTTTCAATATCATTAGACAATTCATTTAATCAAATGTTCACCAAACTATACCTATTGACCATACTTTTACATATGAAACAATATGTATTGAAGATATTAAGAAGCAAAAGGAATTTTTAAAAACCATAAATTAATATCACATTTTTAATTTTTGGGGAAAAAAACTTAATATTCTTGTAATGAAAAAATATGTGTGAATTAAGCAACGTATATAGTATATACCTGTTGGAATTGGTGAAATATCATCCCATCGGACAGACCACAGTGTAGAATCACTTGATGGTAGAGGTTGTACAAGCATAGACGGAAAAACTCCTCTTTGAGAATAATACTTTTGCTTTCCTTTATCTTCAACAGCTGCAGGCAGTAGAAGATCTCCTTCCCACCAACCATCATCAATACCAGAATTGGACATTGAAGTCAGCTGATCTCGTTTAGTTGTTGTTGCAGATGATGAGTTAATTAAATCATTGATATTAGGTGCACGACCTATTACACGAATAATTGCACCAGCTTTAAAGCTTAACTCATCTATATTAGTTCCATGAAAGTCAATCAATGTTTTTACAAAAGAACCAGATAGTGGTGGTTGAGTAATTAAATTACTAGTGGACTCTGAAAATAAAGAAAAGTTATACATACAAAATAATTATTTTTAAAACAATGTTTTAAAGTTAATCTTAATAATATCTACCATACAAGATGTTTTCATTGAATATCAAAGTGATAATGCTACTTTTTTTTAAAACTTACCTAATCTTGTTTTATTCCTTTGCTTTAGCTTTGAAGTCGCAGAAGCAGTGAGGTTTTATGGCGATGGGTTGCTAGCCTTACACTCCTTATCCTTCCCTCTTTGTTGGGAGTGTTATCGGCTAAGGGAAATAAAGGTGTGCGCTGGTCGGGACTCGAACCCCGAACCATATGCGTGGTCCAGTCTTATTGGAATATAATCATGCAGTTATTATTGACAGTAAAACCAAAAATTTCCTCAACTTGTCTGGTTACATAACGTATGGATGAATTAGTATTCAAACAGTATAACACAGAGAATATGAAAAAATCTCAGAATTTATATAACACTTCTATTCACACAAACTGTATGTTGTCAAAAATGGAATAGCTTAAAAATCCCCATGGAGTCATATGCAAAAGAGAAGGCATTCAGCACAGAGACTCTTTCTGGCAAATGCATTCACAGAGCTATCAAATCGCATTAATATAAAATTTTTTTTTCTCGTGTGTACATGAGGTTTATCAAGTTTAGATAATTAATTAGGTAATACAAGAATGAAGTAATGTAGAAACAAGGTTAAATAGACGGCAACTAAAGTAAGATTGAGTTAGTAAGTTAGATGACATAATATAATTGACTAATATAGGGTTCAATGTAGGTCAGGATAGCAACAGAGGTAGTTACAGGTAGAGACTAAGCAGAGGTGGGCTAGAGAATAATGCCATTTAAATTAGGACTAAAACTGAGGAAATCAATTGGATAAAGTAACATAAATGACTAGAAATTGAGCAAATAAAAAAAATAAAAAGTGAAATACTCTGTTACTACGTACAATAAAAAAAATAGTTTCATTATCACTGCTGTTATATTCCACCCCGTTATCTTTTTAAATTATTTAACCTTTAACTGAGACGTATATTTCGTAACTCAGTTATTCTGTTAGCTTATCGTTTCAAAGCACAGGAACTATCTGAACACACGACCCCATCAAATATCTTCTACTATTTCCTATCTGTAACTACACTGCTACAGTAATTCCTTTAATCTTGGTTTGGTCAGTCAATACACATTTGTTCAAATCATGTTAGTTGCGATGACGCAGACTTCATTGCCATAATTGCATAGAGCTAACCACTTCATAATGCAAAACTGTTTATTCACTTCCATGATATTCCACATTTAAGTTCCCACCGTGTCAGTCTATGCCAGGCATCATCATATATGAACATCTAAACATTTTGCAATCTCCTGCTTTTTCCTACTATGATAAACATTAATGTATCTGACAGTGAGTCTTTTGTTTTAATTCCTTTGATTTCATGCCTACCGTTTGCTTTAAATATTGATATATCTGACTTATCGTAGGTACAATGCAACTGATTGGTTAGTTTTAACCGAAAGTCAGTGTACTGAAGTTTCAGTAGTTAGAAGATTCAGTTGTCATTTCTCACAAACTTCAGTGAATTAACTATCCCAAGATATGGTGAATTCGTAGTATCGTTGCTCTTAGAATATAATATGAAGGGTTGAAAGCCTCCATGAAACCTATCAGAAAATGTATAAAGATTATTAAGTTTACATTACAGATTTCTTATTCTTATTGAATAATTTAAATATAACTATTCAGACAAAGTATAAACTCTTTTCTGTTACTTAGACGTACCATTTACTAGAAGTTCATCTGTGCATGAAAGACGGGGTGCGTCGATTTCTGGAGGAAGAGAAGTATTTACCAAATCAAGTTGATTTGTTTTATTTAGATAATTATGATCAGTATTTTCAGGAAGGACGGCTGAGTTAGATGACTTCTTTTCATTTTCGTTATTAAGCTGCATGAAATTATTATTATTGTTGTCTTTATATACCTTGTGATCTTCAACAGTTACATGAGGATTGCACAGTTTTAAATAGCTGAAAGGAACTAAACCTTCATTTCCATCGATTAAACTTCTCACCTGAAATAGATACAAACAATGATATTAAAAGTCCATGAAACATAAGATGAACATTGTAAATAATGTAATGTAATGTTACAGCTATTCATAGATTAAAAACGAAGAATTTATGGGTGTCATGTTGCAGCAAAACAATCATAAGTAATGGTGCTTGATTTAAAAGAAGTGGAATGAACAGACTGAAGTGATAAACTAGTTCGATAGGACTAATTTCGATCCTCACATGCTAGATGTTATCTAATCAAGTCATATCAATATTTCCTCACCAGTATTACTACAAATTTTAAACAAGTCTTCTTGTTTTATCTCGATTCGGTTGAGAGGTCAAATTCTCGTAGTTCAGAGATCAAGGTTGTAGAACATCATATTTAGGCCAAGACTGAACTGTGTGCAATGAGAATCGGCCGTGAGTAAGCTTACATCATCTGTTAAAAAGATTGAGTCGGAACTCGTCTCTATAGGGAGATATTTCACTAAACACCTAAGCACTAATGTCAGAAAACTTATCGACACACATATTTAGAAAAAAGATTAATACGTGATAAATATATTTGCACTCTCTGTAATATCGAAGACTATCTGTAGCATCAAATATATTTTTAGGCTGATTTTGGGTATGTTTACGGGTTACTCTGTTTTAGAATATACAATACTAAGTACCGTTAGTTAAGAGATCTGTTCGAATCTTAACTTTGAGTATCACTGTGGTTTCCCACAGTCCAAAATCAACAGAAATATCCAGTTGAAACAAGTATGAGATTTTAACCATCAATAAATTGTTAAGTGTAAAAATAAGAAAGTTTATTTAGCATTAATTGGTGGATGGTGACTAGCAGTGGAATCCAGGATGCTCATTCCGTCTTATTTGGGACTCGTCTTCCGGATGTACCTCCATAGCGCAATGAGTGATGATGTTCCCACCGAGACTCGGACCCAGTGCCCATAGTTTCAAGCTCCAAAGCGTTATCCACCAGACCCCTTGGGCCACGAGAGCCATTTCTTGTGCAACGGGTAATATTAATTATTTAATTAATCCAGATGACGAGTCCCGAATAGGACGAAATGTGTATCCTGTTTTCCACTGCTAGTCACCATCCACCAATTAAATTCTAATTATATGCCCAGACATCGTCGGAGCATCTGCATAAGAAGCCACCATGCCAACCTGAGACCGAACACTTCGGTCCAATCAATCGACGGGAAAATCGAAAATTGAATTAAATATATTTAATATGTATACAACTTACTTTAATCCATCCATTTTTGTGTTCATCTTCTAAAAGAACGACAGTTTCATGTACAACAAGATCTAATTCATTTGGTTTTTTAGCTCTAAACTCATGAACTACATTAGCTCGACGTAATCGACCATTTTCAGACCAAACAGCCTCAAAATCAACATCATCTTTATTATTATCTGTAAAATTGTCTGAACTAGCAACACGAATTATTGAGGTATGATGACTAACTGAATTATTATTACTATTAGTAGTAGTAGTAGTAGTATTGTGATAATTTTGTCCATTATAAAAGTTATTATTAACTGATCGGTGGATAGCTATATCATCACGAGTTCGTGGATTCATATGGTTAACATTCTGATAATCATGTTTTATAGAGCCAATAGAGTCAATATTGGCTGAGTTAATATGATTAGGATAGGTAATCTTTGTATTTGTCTGTAGTGGTGATTTATACGTGGAATGATAACCTTTCTCACTGGAATTATTCACTTGGCCAAGAGTTGTCGGTCTGGGAACTGACATATAGAGAAGAAGAATAAAAATGAAAACTTTTGCCAACATTATACGTTATATGGATATAAAAGTGAGTGAAATGTTACAACTTGTCTACAGAATAGCTTAATTCTACACAGTACTAGTGTAAATAAGTAAAGACCGAGGAGGCTGGAAGGAATGTTTATTTGGTGAAACGTATTGTACATAGGTAAATTTGGTATACCATACTTTCAAACCGCCATTTGCACATCATTTACCACATCCTTGACGAATTGGTCGAATATCGTCACATTCGATAGCTTCTTGGATTCTGCATCGTATGGCAATATTCTTCACATAGTTCTCTTCTTTGATTGCTCTTTCCAGTGTGCAAAACATATTGTTACTTTTCTGAATTCGCTTTCTGATATACTACTTATATCGGATTATAAGTAGCACTCACCATACTAGGAATGGGTAACTATGTGAAATGACGAAGATAAATAAATAGCAGAATAAAAGATAGCTGGACGGTTGTTCAGAACTTTGTTCGATTTTACTTTAATCATGAATGCAATTCAGTCTCATGTAGGGTCATTATCATACACTACCTAAAGTAGGAAATATCAATGAATATTTCTCCTTGGTTCTCAATTATAAAAATAGTCTGCCATGAGAAAGTATTTTAATTTTAGAAAATCCAATCTCACTTGGCCAGCGCAGTAATAGAAGCTAAACAAAAGGTATCATTACGACAACAAAATCTTCTGAATTACACCATCTTAAATAGATCTCGGCGTCGGTGGCATAGCGGTTAGGACACTCGCCGACCATGCACATGGTCCGGAGTTCGATCCTCGGCCGACGCACTCCTTTACTTCGCTAAGCCAGAAATAATGCTGGTGAAGAGAAGAGGTTAGGCATGAGGCTAGCAACCCCATCCTGTAAAATAAACACTGCTACAGAAACTTCAAGCCACTAGCTTGAAGCCCTATGTTCCACTGGAGAACGCGAAGGAAAAAAATAGATCCGGAAGTATTAATTGTAAGCTCCCTTTAGAAGTCCTGTGAAGTGATCGAGTGGTAAAAAGTACTGACTTTACTGTGTCTGATTTAATCGCATTACATAATTCATAATATAAAAACTTATTTGCAAAACTATTTCTTCATATATGTTTTTTTTATCACATTGCGATCTTTTAAATACTATATAGGCAGGCGATTTATCACACTGGTAAGAGTGTTAAATATTATTTTGAAAAAGACGTTCTCGTGTCTGATTTGGATAGTGTGCATAATTTAAGGATACCTCCTAATTCAGCTTATCTGAATAATTAATATTTTATCAGTTATAATAATAATAATAATCTTCCTTTCATTCATTCATAGAGGATATTACTAAAGATCTAAGTTCTTCTTTTTTGAAAAGTCTTTTTTCAAACAGATTTCTTTCCGACAAGACAAGAAGAAATTTTATGTTAGGATAGAAAGTCTAAAACTTTATTCACAGTCATAAATTACATATGTGTCTGATATATATTTCCCTAGCCAGTTGACTGTTACCTCCCCAATTTTCATTCTTTTAGAAAAAAATTTTATTATAGCTTTATTCCACACCATATTTTTGGTACAAGTATGGAATTTTCAGCATGTGATATCGGTAGCCTAAATTTTGCAGGCCGACCGATTGATATCGGGTATGCGCCGGTAGGGGATTAAACCCCAGACCATTTGCATGGTCGGCGAGAGTCCTAACCGCTGTGCCACCGACGCACAAAGTGAGTGTCGTATGAAATAAAATTAACCCACATGTAAGTTTATAGGATTTGTAGTGAATTACACATATGACACTAATTGTCAGTAACTAAACCTATATCAGTATAGAATTTGGAAATATAATATGAAACATTCAATATTTCTTTTACAGTTCCTTTTTTCTCTTGAGAAATAGAATACGCTTTTATCATTGGCAAAATGAATTATTATTATGAATGTTATTATTATTATTACATGAACCGCAAATGGATATCAAGTCTTTATCAACCTCATTCAATAGTTAGCTATATGACAATGCCACGTGTCAGGTGATCAACAACAGAAAACTCAGCGAGGCGTTCGATGTGCATACAGTAGTAAGACAAGTTTGGCTGCCTATTATCACCGATGATACTGTTAATTGTGGTGGACTGGATTGTGCGTCAGACTGAGCACAGGGAGTGAGAAGACTGGAATACGCTGGACCACCGATAAGAAGACTCTAGAAGATCTGGATTTCGCAGATGATATATGTCTAATTTCACACAAACTTGAAGACTTGCAGGCGAGAATCAACAAACTGGCTGAAGAGGCAGCGAAGACAGTATTTCAGGTAGACATAGAGAAGACTGAGGTGATGAAGATAAACAACGAACAGCAACAACAACAACCAGCACTAATCACAAACAAAGGGAGACATTTAACAGAGGTTACCTCCGTCACTTATCTAGGAAGCATCGTTTCAACTACAGGCAGCCCGAATGGATAAAGATGCCAAAACCAGCCAGTATCGGAAAGGCAAAATACTCCTTCATCAACCTGAAACCAGTTTGGAAATCTTCCGCACTCAGCATAAACAACACAATTTGGATTTTCAACACCAATGTGAAGTCAGTTCTTATATACGGGTCAGAAACTTGGCTAGCGTGTCACGAAATGGATTTGCAACAGGTCGCAGACTTTCATCAACATCTGCCTTTGCAGATCAAGTAGCTGGCCAGAAATAATTAGTGACAAAAACTCTGGCTGACAACAAACCTACCAAGAGCCGATCACTGAACAAATATATAGGAGAAAATGGAGATGGATTGATAGGGCATACATTGAGCAGGCCGTCGAATGACACCGCGCGGCAGGCCATTGCTCAAGTGGAATCCAAATAGGAAGCAACAAGTGGGTTGTCCTAGGGTGATATGAGGGAGATCGTGTGAGGAAGAAATGAGAGAGTTTGGGCAATCATAGACCGACATAAATGTAGAGCGAAAAGAGGAAATTATCGAAAAGTATATCCTTTGCTCATTTTTCTCTTAAATTTAAAACCTACTAGTTCCATTCACTTGGCGTAAAATTCGCGACTTGTGCAGCAAAAATTAGTGGCTGGTGTGACTGGTACGCAACTACTTGTCTCAATTAATCAGTAGTATATACACCATCATGCATTTACGTTACCCCTCTCTTAACTGAAATTTATCGTGTAGGGCAGATCACATTTTATGATATGAATAATTTCAGTTTTTAAAAGTAACTATGGTAAAATTTCACCACAAAGTATGTTATTCCCAAAATCAGGAATTTAGTTGAATGTATTAAGAATTCTCTCAGGTAGCTAATCAGAATTCGAATGATTTCAAGTGATTCGACTATCCAATGTGAGTTCAACTGGCTAAACAGTTGACAAATTCGGCTAAAAATTGAGTGGAAAAGCCTTTTAACTACTTATATCAATCACTGAGTAGTTATGCCATCATACTCTCAGAAACTTATTTATAAATTCATAAAATTTCTTGTGAAAACAGCAATATGATTCAATGTTCATAACAATTTATGTCAAATGCAGAGATTAGACAGAAAGTCTGAAGCTGAAAATCAATATTTTGTTGAAGATATTAATATATTCTTATAATATATGTTTATCATAATCCATTTTATTCAATTATGACTACATCATGAATTTTTAAAACTATTACCAAGTCATTTGAGTTATCTATTATATAAAAAGTGTCAGTCTGTATTCGAACACCCAACAATTAACTTCTCTAACACTACGAGTTCAAAAGAAATATCATTTTCCTTTGACATTATTGATTCTTCTTTATACATTCATGACGCCTACGTTGAAATCAGCTTCTTCAGACACTTACAAAGTCAACTCACCTATACTGATGCGTAACGTGTATAATATAAAAACAGTTGTATTCACTTACATGTAGAGGACCAATCATTAATTCTACTTCTGTAAAATTGACCAGTAGTCTGTGAAAGCAGTAAAACAGAATTAATATGTTTCAATTAATTATTTAAAGTTGATTTTAATATTACTAGTAAAAATGATGAATAATATTTAAGAAAAAATCCTTTGCATTCAACAATATTAAGTATTTTCTAAGGTAATAATTCGAAATAATAACAATAATAGTTTACTTTATTCCAAAACAGAAATAATGTTACAGTGTGGAATTTTCAGCATTTGGTACATTCATAAAGATAATACTACGGGATTGCTAATGGCAGTTCTTATATTCAAAAAAATGTAAATAATACTACTAAGATTAGTGGCTAAGATTGTCAGTTAGCTGAGGTTGTATCACCAGAGATTACAAATAAGAGGTAATAAAACGGCCAATTTTGTAGCTAACAACACAGACGCTTTACATTGTCTCTACCACATAGAACACTGACCAAATATGATTTCGTTGAGTTCCTATGCTTCGAATCACGAGCATATAGTCTTTTGCACTGACTTCTAGTTCTACCAGATGAGATACAAGTGGAGAGTTGAGAATAGAGGGGGTGTTGAGGATCAGACAGTATAAATTAAGACCATTTCTCGCATGAGTTCAGACGTCTATCAACTAATCTAGTGACAAGCTGAGTAGGTTGCACACCACCAGCCCTATTGACAACCTTTAATACCCTTCTCAAAATGACATAGTACTTTTTCAGTATACCAGGAAAGACTCAGGGGGCGACAAAAGCGAAAGAGATGGAAAAGGCATCGGCGATTGGCAACACCAGACAACTATTCAGGCTTATTAGGGAAACAGGTGGCAAAAGAAAATTGATAAGCGATACAATCTCGGAGAAAAATGGCACAAAAATGAGCTCCCAGGATAGACGACTGGAGCGCTGGAAAGAACAATATGAGGAGCAGTTTAATTGGCCCACAGCCACACTTAACCTGCCGAACATCCAACACTTCCCTGAATGGGATATAGACACAGATCTTCCGTCCTTAACTGAGGTTACTAAAGTTGTCACTAATCTGAAGCAAGGCAAAGCAGCGGGACCTGATAGAATAACTCCAGAGGTATTTAAGTACGTTGGAGACAGTTTACTGTCTGCGTTAACTGAGGTTCTAGGCAGCGTCTGGGAATCAGAGGAAGTCCCATCGGGTTGGTGTAAGTCACTGATCATCCCGATATACAAGAAGGGAGACAAGTCTTCTTGTGATAATCACAGAGGGATTAGCTTGACTAATATAGTATCTAAAATCCTAGGCTCAATAATACTGCGTAGACTAAGTGGTGCTCGCGAGGCACAAACACGAGAAAACCAAGCAGGTTTTAGGCCAGGAAGAGGATGTATTGATCATATCTTCACCCTTCGACAGATTCTAGAACATAGGCATTCATACCGGCGTCCGACAATCATCATATTTTTTGACCTAAAGGCGGCATTCGACTCACTCGACCGAGAGGTTCTCTGGCGATGCTTGGCTGTAAAGGGAATGCCGGGAAAATACATTGCACTGATTAAGGCACTCTACTCGTACTCATGCAGCCAGGTGAGGGCTTATGGCGAGTTGTCATCTGAAGTGATGACGACTAGTGGCGTCCGTCAAGGATGCCCATTATCCCCACTCCTATTCAACTTCATCATAGACGTACTGATGGACTTAACCCTAACACACTTCAGCGACTCAGGAATTGACTTGCTACCAGGGAATAATCTCGTCGACTTAGAATATGCGGACGACATAGTCCTTCTAGGCGAGGACTCTGACAAAATGCAGAGTCAACTGAACACCTTGAGCAACAATCTTCGTATGTTTGGGATGCGATTCGCCCCTGTAAAATGTAAGATGATGCTGCAGGATTGGACTTCACCGACTCCTAGATTAGAAATAGGAAGTGAAGTGGTAGAGCACGTTGACCGCTTCACTTACTTGGGAAGTACCATCAGCCCCAACGGGTTGATCTCTGACGAAATATCAGCACGAATACTGAGGGCCAGGTTCTCATATGCCAGTTCACGCCCTCTCTGGCGTAGACGCAATATCCGACTATCGACCAAAGGGCGTGTGTACTGCTCACCAGTCCGCTCCGTCCTCCTTTATGGCTGTGAGAACTGGCCACTGAGAGCAGAAGACATGAAAAGATTAGCTGTCTTTGCTCATAGGTGTCTGCGTTCTATCTCCCGCGTGAAGTGGTATAATAAGGTGAACAATATTGAGGTTACGCGTCGAGTGATAGGTAAGGTGGGGAAATCAATCGACGAAACGGTGAAATTACTTTGACTGAGATGGTTGGGACATGTGTTACGTATGCCTAGTCATCGCTTTCCTCGACGGGCAATTTTAGCTGACATAGGGCCAGGCTGGAAAAGAGCTAGCGGCGGTCAAACGAAAACATGGCACCAGTCAATGAAATCCACAACAGTTAGTCTAAGCCACGTAGGAAAATGTGGACTTCCTGGTTGGGGTCCTCGGGACGGTAAAAACCAATGGTTGGAAACATTTGGTGACATGGCTCAAAATCGTTCTCAGTGGTGCAGATGCATCCACTCCTTGTGACTAATGATTTCCAATTAAACTGTTTTGTTCTCTGTTATCATTATTCCTTTGTCTCACACCTCTGTTTACTGTCTATATAATGCATTTCTCCTACCTTCGTCTCTTGCTTTGTGTGCTACATAGAGGGAGTGTGGCGACTTGAACTGCCGCACATACGTGCAAAGTTCTATGTCGAAAACCAACCGAGCGACCGACTCAAGGGGGACAGTAAAGTAGAATAAGAAAGATGCACGAGTTAACAAATTGTAAAAGCAGTGGTTGAGTGATTCCAGATTAATTTAGCTTTTTATTGTAGTAGCTTGGACAAAACATTTTTTCGGAGGTCAAAAAAATATGGGATGACTAAGTAAGGTCAGAGGAGAGAAGTATACCAAGGTATTTTGTGTTAGACCTAGTTTCTGTTACAGTCTCCTCTATGCTGCAAACATCGTGTGTACTAACCAGTCATTGCAGATCGCGTTTGTATCTAAAGTAGAAGTCAATAGTCTAGCGTTTTGAGAGATTTAACTTAAGACTATTTAGCTTAGACCACTGACTGATGTCCGACAAAAAGTAGTTAAGTTTGTAACAGTCTGATTGGGACTTGACAGGAAGCGAGACGGTCAGATCGTCAGCGTATTTGACGAAGTTGATTTCATTAGAAACAGGTAAGTCATGTAAGAAGAAAGGAAGGAAAAAAGGAGAGAGAACAGCACCAGCTTCAGTGAGCAAGGCAGAGGAAGATTCACCCCTATATATAGTACACTGCATTCTATTTGAGAAATAGGAATGCAAAAGGTTAATAGCCCAGGACTGGATTTGTGTAAACGAAAGCTTATTTAACAAAAGGCACCTAGGTACCGAGTCAAAAGCAGATGTGTAGTCGAGGAAGGTACATATTTGGTCCTTTTGTCTAAGAAGCAGACAATGCTGTGGTGCAATAAAGTACTTCTGCTCTGCCTATAAGCAAACTGTTTGGGATCATTTAATCTTTTTAAAGAGTTTACAAGGTTGAATAAGAGTAATTTCTCCATTAATTTCAAAAAAGGAGAGGTGATAGCAATAGGTCTAAATTTAACATTATTATCAGAACCTGACTTGGGTACAGAGATGATTTTAATGTCTTTCCACGTAGTGGGTACATTATCAATGGAGAAGGAAGTATTGAATATGTTTGTGAGTGGGTAACATAAGATATCAGCAAATTTCCTGAGGACAAACAGCAGGTACACCATCATGAACTAGGCTCTGGGAATGTTGTGGAGATTTCAAACACTTAAAAACATCAAAAGTATTAAAGCCATGAAAATCACTGACCTTAATGTTTGTTATATTGGGAACAAAAGCATCTTTAGAAGAGCGTATGAAAGAGTTATTGAGAGTATTTACATGGTATTTGGCTAATATTTCCTCGTTAGAAAAAGTAGGCAGTATTAAAATGATCCTACTTAAAAATTTTAACCATCTTCTTAGGATACATTTTATAAGCTGTCTAAACTAGGAAGAAAACAAACGAACTCTAAGAATTTGAATAAATTATTGATTTGATTTAAACAATGAGTTGATTAAATCAAATTAAGCTTACAACGTGACACAAGAGAGAGAATTATACAACCACTAAATAGTCTGCCTTCCTATGTGATCGATGAGACTTAAAAAGACTTAGAAATCATTGGTGAATAAGGAATGTGACAACTTTTAAGTGTTAACAAGTAGTAGGAAAGAGTATTTCAACAGGTTAGTTGAACACACATAGGACAAATTATTATTACTACAGTTAGATATTATTATTGTGTGGAAATCACTATAAGCTAGTACAAACTGGATTTTGTGGAAAACTTTAATTTTTGTATGGCATCTATGTTTAGAGGAGATTATGTTTCATGAAAAAATTCATATGGATCTCGGGGAGTGAACTGAAATCTTCGGCATTCTAAAAGATAGTAGTTAAAAACAACTGGTAATATCGCTCGCAATCATTCTCATTGGTGCAGATGCAATCACCCTTTGCTATCTGCCATATCTATTAAACCATATTGTTTTTCAATGTTATTATTCCCCTCCGTAGTCTTTCTGCTAATTATCATTCTTTCGAATTTCTTCTTTTTATTGACATTTTATTGATAACAGCTTGATTCCACACCGTATTTTCGGTTCAAGTCTGGAATTTTCAGCATGTGATATCGGTAGCCCAAATTTAGCAGGCCGACCATTGATATCAGGTGTGCGTCGGCAGGGGATCGAACCCCGAACCATATGCATGGTCGGTGAGAGTTCTAACCACTGTGCCACCGACGCCCTCTCTCTTTTGTCTTCTTTTGTGAGCTTTATGGAGTGTGGCAACTCGAACAGATGCACTTCTGTGCAGAGTTCAATGTTGAAACCGGTCAGTCAGTGGGAATTCGATATTCATTGTGTAGTAATAATTGGATTAATACATAGAAACAAGTTCATGAGGAAAAAGAATCTCCAGTTTCTCTTTACAAAGTCACAACGTAAACCTAGAAGTGTCATTCACAGACTTTTGTCGTGGAAAAAGCTAGTTAAAGGTTTACAAGAGTTTAAAAACTTAGCTATTTTTCACTAAGATTCAGAAACACGCGGAAAACTCAAAGACAAACAACACTTCATACAACTAATAAATTGACGGGACAGAAACCATTGAAAAATATCTCGAAAATGCAGTTATAGTGTAGGATGAATATGCCTCAGTCAAACCAATATGGAGTCATAAAACAAGTAGCTGTATTACGAACTGTGAATAATTCAATCTAATAAAGTGCTTGGTACACAGAGCAAGAGAGATTTGCTCGGATGAATGTCTTGACGAGGAGCTTAACAATATTAAACGGTTGCTAAGTGAGAATGGTTATCCTGAAAAGTTTATTGATAAGAATATGAATCTAAAACCAAAACAGTCTAAGTTACCAACAGTTCCAAAAAAAGCCTTGTTCTTACAGATGCAGTTCCTAGGAGACAACACAAGTGAGATACTAACACATCGCCTCAGAAATGCGGTAAAAAGAGCATTCCCTGCTGCTCAATTACGCTGTATCTTCAAAACCACTCCTCTTCTGCGTTCGGGAATAAAAGACAAACTGCCTAATTTCGCCTCTTCCATGTGTATATACCAATTTAACTGCTCCTGTGGAGCCAGTTACATAGGCCGTACAATTAGGCGTGTTTCTCGTCGAATTTCCGAGCATCACCCTGCCTGGTTAAGCAAAGGTCAAACAAAATCTATTTGCAGCGCTACTCTGGCGCATCTTGTGGAGACAGAACACAAGATTGACGTTAATCATGCTTTCAGGGTCATTTACCGCATACCTACGAATCTCAATTTCGCTTTAAGAGTTCGACTTCTAAATATTGCTGAGGCTGTGGGGATTCATATTAATAAGCCTAATTTATGCACCCAAAAGAAGTTAGTTCAGTCATTATCATTACCTTGGCCATCCAGGTTTGAATAATCCAGAATTTTTGTGAAATTTCCTTAATTTTGGTTGATATTCTATTCGCTGTTATATCTTTATTATTATTATAATTTAAGCATTTTTAATGAACTGCAATAGCATTGATCATACTTTACAAGTCGATATTATTTTTAAAAAAACGCTAACATTGTTATTAACTACTAATTTAAAATATTCTGTGTATATAAAGATATATATATATAATTGTAGAGCCTGGAAGAGGAATTTATCGAAAAGAATATTCTTTGCTCGATTATTTTGTGTTTTATAGATGTCTGAATAATTCAAAAGACAAATACTTTAAAGCCTTTTAGATTATTTCCACACCTAAGTACATCAACCGTGAGACATAAGTCAGTTTATTAGCACCTAAAGTAGGGTAGAGTCATAAGGTAGGTGGCAACACGAACGTTTAACGTTATCCATCAGCAACTCAGTTAATAAAGTTTCATAAACTTTTAAGCTAACTCCTATCACTCGCCTAGTGCTTCCAACGTATGCTTGATTGTATAAAGTTGACGTGGAAAATCAGTAATGCTAGAGAAGTATCTGTGGAGTTTACACCTCATCCAAATTGAGAAGCATTTAACACAACTTTACAACACACTGAATTTAAATGACACCTCTATACATTTTCAATGTTACGAGTGTTATTAGTTATGAGAAACATATTCCAGTTGCTAATCAAAAACAGAAGGAAGGAAAGCAAAGTCTGTTCACAGGAGAAGCTTGATAAAGATTGAAAGTTAAGTATCTTGATGAATTTCTAAATACTTCAGTGATAAAAAATGCTTTAACCAACACTTACATCATCATCATCGCCATCGTCATCGTTAAAACTTCTATGGACCGGATAGGCTGAATCACGACCAATTATTCCAGAACCATAAGATCCGACTGGTCGATCCCAATCACTCAGTAGTCTTGAGTCATGATCAATAAACTGGTTGACACCAGAACTACTAGCTGCACTATCACTGCTGCCTTCACCCGATGGTCGAATATTCGGTCGTCTATTCGAGGTAGAATCATTCAGTAGACCAGAACTTGAATTTTCATTATGAAATTGCGCAGCTGCAGCTGCAGCGGCAGCTGCTTCAGCGGCTATTCGAGCTTCAACAATGAAATTGTTGACCTCAACTAAATTGAGAACGATAATTAGATTAAATACTGTTGTTATAGGTGATTTATTACAAACAATGTAAATATTTGGATACAAGACGTTGTATTTAACATTAAATGTGTGTATAATACAATCTTTAATTAATTTTAGGCAAAAATACTAAGAAATGATGCTATCCAAAGGATCCGTACAAATAAAATAGACAAGTAATGAAAATAATTTCAGACACCATCAAAGATTACATGTAAGTTACAGTTTTATCCCTTAGTATCTCTTAACGGTGAACAATAAAAAACAGGTCTTAGCCGATAGTAATACGAATAAATTGTCGTTGACTACATTACAAATATTTATGGCTTATAAAATGCACATCTTCATGATATACGGTGTGTTCAGTTTACTGAATGTATACATTGAAGATGAACGAAGTTTTTCAGTCATAGGCTTTTGTAGGAATCCGGATTAGTTTTAATGTAGATTTCGCTACGACTAAACATTATTTAGAGGTTACTACAGACCAGGAAGTACTGGACAGTTATTTCTCCCTAACTGGGGACTCTTTAGCAAAGCATACCCACGACGCCGCCATAGTTCGAACCCGAGACCTTCAGGTTATGAGACCAAGATCACTGGTCATTCGGCTACTTGGACATGAACCCAGTAACCCATGAATTATAAAGCTGTTAATTCGTGATGTAGCGCTATCTTCGACTAATGACTCCCATTTGTATGTACTTCGCCTTGATAAGGTGGAGCCCGCTGGTCACGACTTCTCAGTACAACTTCAGGACAACCGCGCAGTAACTAATAATGAGCTGGAGATCAATATTTTGATTGTGGATTTTTGTAGGGATTAATTTAAATGAAGTTTTCGTCCTGAACCAACATCATTTAGGGATCTCTAGAGAGATTTTGGGTGTTCACTGATGAAGAGCACCGAACTAGGACGAAACGGAGCCCAGTGCCCCTGGTTTTCAACGATATCTAACTGATAAATTGTTCGTGACAAAATCAACATTGAAATAGGTTATCTTTGAAGGAACCCAAAGTTTATTCTTTGCACTTCATATTTAAAAAAGTTAATACATAATAATCTACTTACATGATGAATATAGAATCTGCCTATACTAAAAAGAAAATAGCCTAGTAAATGATAATAAACTCTTGACATATCAACGCCCTAACACACCTAGATGTTCAAGTATGGTCGATAACGTGTAAATCGTTGGCTAAATGTAGGTTTAACGGAAATCAAAAGAAAATTAATTCACAGTCATACCAATATATATAAAGAATAACAATGAAAGTCGTTAGAGAAAATAGATTACACCGGGATTGAGAACCAGTGTCTTTATAATTCACCTACAAAATTCGATGGTTAACTTCATCTATGAAATATTTTGTGCACCTGTTTGAAGTGAATACATTTCACTGCCGTATTATCCATTTTAGAAAATAAGGATCGATTAATATCAATGAGTAAATGGTAGTGAAACGCAAACGACCCAGTTTTTGAACGAAGTTCTCGCCTAGACTATGAAATTATAAAAGATTTTGATGTAAGCTATGAAAAGAGATGCTTCTACTATTAGCACAACAGTCAATAGCAGAATCCCTCGCTTCACAAGAATTCAAAATGCGATGGCGACTGTGTGGCCTAACCATAGTGTGAAAGCCGTAGTCTGACGATAGTGACAACGTTTTATTTCCATCGAAATCCATACGTGACCATAAAAGCAGAATATATGAAGAAACAGCAGAGAGAGAAAACCATTTTAACTTACTTGATGAATTACGCAATAACGATAAACAAGCTTCTATTTTTACACGTTCAATCTATGTAGAGAAAACGTCAAAATAATTTCTTATTTAGAATTTGAATTTTGTAAAGAATCTATATTATTAACGATATAAATTATGCCATGAACTAAAGTCAGTTTGAGAATTACTGACAACCAAGGAGTTCTGGACACCTGTTTCATCCTAGTTTGAGACTTTTCAGCAGTCAACACACTTGACCCCAACAGGGATGGAAACCACAACCTTCAGGCTACTAGGCGTGTACGTTAGACACTAAGTAATTGAATCGAAATTCAGTTACTCATAAACTCTAGTTCCTGTCATTTAGCAGTATAGCTCCACAGTCAGTTGTCATGGTTACGCACCGCTGAACAGTCTCAAACTAGGACAAAACACCTACCCAGTGCCTCTTGGTTTTCAATGGCTAACTAACTGATATAATTTCGTGACAAAATCTTCCCTGAAGTCTTGTAATTTAAAAGAAAATAAATGTTGATAAAAACCAATCACAACTTATATCTTCTCTGTATGTGCCAGTGATTTGGAAGTACTATTGTTCAGCTCTAACTCATACAGAAGGAGTTCAAAGTAATTTAAAGATGGTAATGATAATAGTAACTATGATAACATTCCTCTAAAAGATAAAACCTCTTGAATATGTCGTCTATTATTACTTATTATTTTATTATTGTCTCCTTTAGTTCCTAGAGGAACATAAGGATTCAGCCGTGCGTCTCCATTGCGTTCGGTTCTCCGCCACTGTTTACCCACATGCTTTCATCTCCTTTTCACACGACCTCCTCCATGTTACCCTCGCATTGGCGACCAACTCGCTGCTTCTCATTCAGGTTCCACTCGAGAGAGAGCCTGGCGTGTGATGTCATGTGTTGGTTTTCTCAGAGAATGGTCAATCCACCTCCATTTCTTCCTGCATATTTGTTGAACTATCGATTCCTGGTTGGTTCGCTAATAGTCAGAGATCCCTATTGCTGATCTTTCCTGGCGGGTCATCTGATCTTGAGCAATGATCGAAGACAGCTGTTGATGAAGGTCTGTAGTTTGTTCGAAGTGCCTTTCGTGACACGCCGATTCTCTGATCCCTACAGCAGCACTAACTTCACATTGGAGTTGAAAATCCGGATCTTGTTTTTCATGCTGAGTAGTGCTGTTGATCTCGGCACAGACTTGAAAGTAATGAAAGCTCGCCTTGATTTACCGATCCTTGCTTTGATAACCTCATTAGTAGTTGAAACGATGCTTCTCATTTATTGCTGATTGTTGTCTGTTGTTGTTGCTATGGCCAGGAATATTCATCACCTCTGTTTTCTCTATGTTCACCTGAAGTCCTATCTTTGATGCTTCTTCTGACGACTTGTCGTTTTTCACTTGCATATCTTCTACTCTGTGCGTAATCAAACACGTCATCTAGTTCTCTAAATTTGTGAAGTACGTATGAACCAGTGAAGCGCTGGAAACTCCGATAACCAGCACATTTTCCCAAACTCTAAATATTCTATTGTAGTATTTTTTGACAGATTTAATTTCACCCTCAGGCTTTTACCGTAGGAACAGCTACATTTATAGACAGCTAAGTAACTTATTCCTTATCTGAGAAATGAGTAATTTGTCAGATAGCATTTATTACTCACACATTAGACACCTTGATTGGTCAAAATTCCATACACATTGAAGGCTTTATGTATTTGAATAAAGTCTGATCTAACAGAAAACAATATTGTCCACTTATATGTCTCGTTTTAATTTTAACAATAAGAGTATTTAATGCTATAAATAATTGTTTAGAGGCAACATAATCCTATCAAAACTTATATAGAATAAATAGAGTTAGTGACATTACAATAATAATAATAATAGTCGTAGTAATAAGATGTATGTGAAGTGTTGTGTTGCTAATATTTCGAAAGTCAGCAGTTTTAGAAAAAAAAAACACGTTTCCTTCTTTGAGCCAGATGATAATTTAGTTTTCGTCATTAGTCTCACTCATCCTCGGTTATACATAATCTTTGTGATTCCACTTTTGTCTCACTTCATTTTTTATTCATGATATATATATATATATATATATTCATGAGCATATTCACTGCCTGTCATTAACGGATAGTTTTTATCATCACTTTTTCAGAATTAGAAATTATGATAATATTTTGAATATATACACTGAGTTCCTTTATTGGTTAGGCAATGCCAACTTATTGATTAACACTTGATTCACTGCGTCTGTGTGTGTGTGTGCGTGATTATAAGTATAACTGTACAAGTTTCATCAAGGAGTAGTAGATTATTCAGCAGACAAATTTTACTTCATTGACTAATCTTACTTACTTACTTACGTGATAAGTATAAATTATCATAATTTTTCTTTTCAGAGTTAACAAAGAACTTTTATCAGGAAAAAGAAGATATTCTTATTTCATCAGGAGAGCAATGATACCACTCTCTTGTTAACCTACACTATGAACATAAATAAGTACGATGTTCAGTTGGATGATAATTTTACTTGAAAATTTACAGGATTTATTAAATTTAGATAGTCGATTTAACAGTTCGACAAAAAAAGTCTTTAGAAATCAATGAATGTAGAATATGCAGAATATCAATCAATACATCTGTTCAGACTAGATAGAAATACTTCCGTAATCTTAAAGAAATATGTATCCATTTATCGAAAAAGAAAAGTTCTTTGAACACGGTAGCATTGAAGATAACTGAGTTATGCAATAAACATAATGACTTCAGGATTGATAAATAACGAATAGTTCTTCAAAACTGACGTCATTTATTTTGTTTATGTCTATACGTCGGTGGCACGGTGGTAAAATAATAGAGAAGATTTGTAGCTCAGGTGGATAATTTGCAATTAATAGTGTTCTTTGAGCTGGTTGGTTTAGTTGCGAAGCTTTCGTCGTCCTTCTGGACAACCTCTTCGGCGCCATATTTAGCACAAAGTGAAATGATTTCAATTTCTTCATGAGTGATATAATTGCGTATCCTAGTAACTATCTTTACATATGTATTGACCATTTTCTATTGACTTGGATTTTAAACTTTCTGGTCACCTAATTTACTTTTTATTAGTTGGTATATTTCGTCTATATTAACGTGTTTGTTAATTGCATTTTTGTTTGAGTACCAGGCTTCTAGGAATTCCCTGGCACTTTTAGTGTTTCCTCTGTCAAATCAGCCGTGAAAAGACACGATATGTATTCTTTAGTATCAATGCATAGAGACAGATATGGTCATCAATTCGATTGGGATAATGTCAAAATCTTAGACAGAGGAAACACTAAAAGTGCCAGGGAATTCCTAGAAGCCTGGTACTCAAACGAAAATGCAATTAACAAGCACGTTAATATAGACGAAATATACATACATATGTATACATATGTAAAGATAGTTACCAGGATACGCAGTTATATCACTCATGAAGAAATTTAAATCATTTCACTTTGTGCTAAATATGGCGCTGAAGATGTTGTCCAGAAGGACGACGAAAGCTTCTCAACTAAACCAACCAGCTCAGAGAACACTATTAATTGCAAATGTTGGTAAAATGCTCACTAACCACGCAATTGGTTCAGGGTTCGATCCCCGGATGACGCACTCCTTTACCTCGCTAAGTTGGTAATAAGACTGGTAAAGGGGGAAGGTGGGGCATCAGGCTAGTAACCCCACCCCGTAGAAGAAACACCACTGCTACCGAAAATCCAAAGCTCTAGCTTTAAGCCCTATGTTCCACTGGGTACTTAAAGGAATAAAATAATCAATATTGTCTGTGAGCTGCTCAAAAGGAGGTGTTTACTATTGTTAAGAAAATGATAGAAGTGCAACCAATTATGAAATCCAATCGTTTATGTGTAAAAGATCATTACTAAAGAAACAAAAATACATTCATTAGAAGTATGTTTAACAAACAATAACCAAATTTAACACTCGAATAGAAAAATAATACCTCTTCTCGACGTATAGCGAATTGTAATTCTTCAACTTTATGCTCAACATACTCCTGATTGAATGCTAATAATTCTTCATTATTTTCAGTTTCCTTGAAAGAACAAACAAATTGATCGGTACATAAGAAATAGTGAAAGATTTAAGAAATATTAATTAAGAATATAATCGTTTGAAATTGAATATGGTTTTATTTACATGAGATCACGATGCAGAGAGTCTGTTAAGTGAATTATGAGACGCAACCGTTTTCACTTTAGTCGCAGAGTGTATTATTTAGTTATCAGGTGAACAGAAAACCTTTGGATAACCGTTCGTTATGCCGACTGTCTTTAGAATGACACTTTATTACACAATAAGCGATATTCATGCATAGCTTAAGGGAAATTCCGGCCGCATATATTAGCGCTTCTAAGGGTTTTACAAAACCTATAGCTACTTAACTAGTGGCATAATAGGATTGTTTCCAGATTTACAGACTTTTGCTTCAGAACTACAAAATTAAAACGCAAACATCATATATATAAAAGTGATAACGACACAATGCTAAAGACTAAGGCTGACATTTACCTCCAGCATACACTCGCTGTATGATAAACTGAAGCTATTTTGTAAAATAAATCTTAAAAATTAAATTGCACTAACTACACTTATAATGTCACTGCGATTTCCCTGGAGGGCTGGACAAAAATACTTTTGTTGAAGATTAAGAGTAGATGACAAGTGACCATAAATTTGAATTGAAAATATGTTAAGAAAATAAAAATCAGAAATTGCGACATCTAGATGATAAGATTTGTATCACTAGCTTTTAAGATAGGGAAGATGGGCAAAAATGAGCGAAGCATCAGTTCATGCTCTCCACTATGATTCATACTTATAGACCATTAAGCTTCATGATATTTACTTAGTCACATAAATCTTTGAAGGCTTGAACTTATAACTCACTGGATGAACGTTGAATTTCAAAACCATAGAACCACAGTTTTAAGCAATTACTAGGATTTAGTCAGTGATAAATGCGAAATCGTATTACAGCAATCGATGCACCTATAGTTTGTTCTCGCTATAAAAACATAATCTCTTATCAAATAATAGATTCACATGTTAATATACAGGAAGTTTTGTCCACAGAGAAGAGGAAAATATGTTAATGAAGCGTGAGAGACAATCAGTTTGAGAAAAATTCCTTTATTACAGTGACAATAAACATTATATAGGTTGGAATAGAAATAGTCGGTTAGACAGCATGTGATGATAGCAGGACCGAAACATTCGAAAGTCTAAATCAGTTACTATTCCAATGTATCTCTGTTACTGTCTCTCATCATTATATTATAAACAATGTTCTACATATGTGTGAATAATGGAAAAGATTTGTAGCTCAGGCGGGTGATATTGAATAAGTTGTGTTATCTGAACTGCCTCATTTAATTGCGAAGCTTTCGTTGTTCTCCTAGACAACATCTTTAGCTCAGGTTTTAGTTTAAAGTGAACTTATTTGAATTCTCTCCCCATGAATGATGGAATTGTATCTCCTGGCAAGGAGTGTCGTGACTGGTTGTTAATTTACGTTCCTTATGATAATTTTCATTGACTTGAAATTCGAACTTTCTTGTCACGTGATTTACTTTTTATTGGTTGAAAAATTTGGTCTATAATAATGTTTTCGATAACTCTAGGTTTCTAGAAATTCCCTGGCATTTTCGGTGTTTCCTCTATTTAAAAATCCTACATTATCCCGATCAAATTGGTGTCCATAATTATCTACATGCACTGATATGAGAGAACATATATCACATCTTTTTACAGTCAATTTGTGTTCTTGGATTCGGATTCTCAGGGGACGCTTACTTTGTCCGGTCTAATGTTTATCGCAGTTCATACAGTTTATTTTGCAAATGGTAATTATTTTATCTTCTTTTTCTCTCGGATCCTTCCGTTTGCACAATATCGAATGAAGTGATTCTGCTGGCTTGTATGCTACATCTATCTCAAACGGTTTTAGTATTCTAGCTGTTGAATCAGAGATATTTTGTTAATATATAGTAGGATGAATTTTCTTGTGTTCTTTGATGATATATATCACAGTCAAGACATCTTTATACTTACAGCACAAATTTATCTAAAATACCTCAGGTACTTTATTAAAAAGAGGCCGAATTATTAATCTTTTTATTCACCTAATTGTAATCAATTATGATGCCAGAAGCTAAATACCAATGAATGTTTATTTTAATTTTCGGAATAGTACACAGAAAAGATACATATTGAAACCATGGGAAAGAATGAGCACCAAAGTGGGGTTTTTAGTTAGTATGACATCATAAACTAAATAAAACTGTGTAAATCACTGATTAAAGAAATTAGCTAATCAGTGAACTAACTTAGGAAGCTATCAGAAGTATTTTTAATGAATGGTTGATAAGTTGTAGTTGAAAGAGGCGGCTTGCTTAAATCACTGGGTTACCGAAATTGCTTTCCAACAAAATGCTTAATTATATCTGGATTTATCATTGTTTTTATCGTCCAGTTATATCAAATAACTTGTACACGAACTTACGCGCTGAATTAACTTGTTTCCAAGTAAACGCTGTGCAATTCTTCAACGAAATGAAGATATACTTCAGAATATTACTTTACATTTAAATAGGCTGAAATTTTTTGTACCATATTATCACATATTGGCTTAAATAAAGCTTTATTATTTAAGAAGAATATAGATGCAAATGTGAGGTTATACAACTTCGTGTACTAAACTACCAGGTGAATATATGGAAATTTCAAAAGACCAACTATATTTTAATTGAATTTGAGATTTTCCCGTCGATTGATTGGACCGAGCCTCGGTGGGAACGTCATCACTCACTGGGAAATGCAGGTACATCCAGTGACGAGTCCCAAATAGGACGAAATGCGCATCCTTGATTCCACTGCTAGTCACCATCCACAAATTAAAGACCAACTATATACCCAAACTTAACTGAGTAAAGATAAATGAACTGGAGATCTACTCAGCGTAAAATCAAATATCTATAATATTCAAAACTATCAATTTAATGTAACAAAACTATGAACTAGAAATACAGTTTACTCTGAAAAAGTGAAACAATTAAAACTATGAGTATTACTAAGATTACTTATAATTTCATAGGAATATATAATAAAGTTTCACTAACTGAAGTATTCTGTTGCATTTGATGTGATTGTGATTGTTGATGTGGAGTAACTATGCCAGACAGTGAAGATACATAACCAGCTTGTAACATTTTCAATTCATTCTCATAAGATTTGATTCTCCGTTCACGCACAACTAATCGCCTTGATAGCTTACGTGCAATTTGCTCCAAATTACTTTCTTTTATATTACCAGAGTATAATACTGTTGTCTATAGAATTAAAATAATAATAATAAGTGGTGGTAAGTAAGACTTAATCAATCAGATAACAGTATATATTTTCAAATACGGCATATATATATTTTATATATATATGAAAATATTTACGAAATAATAAGGTCATCTATCAATCTCAGACAATATAATCATAGTAGCTATAACGATAGAAGTGGCAGGAGTGAATAAATCAGACGATGAATGCCTATTTAGGCGATAAATTCGTTCTGTTTTCACAGAAAATTAAATTCACATAGGTCAGTTTTGACATTATTCAACAAAAACAACAACAACACCACTTGACAGTGATTAATTGAATGACATAAGAAAAGAACTATAATGGTGATGACCTCTAGTAAGTAAGGACGTGCCTTTCCACTTAAAACAAGAATATAAGAATGAAAATACAGAATATTTGTGTATACATAAAATTTAAAAGGTGAACAACTTCTGTTGGTTGTAGGTACAACTTTCTTTTTTTTCTTCTGTGCGTTCCTCTCACATTTCACAAGATACACCATCAGCTAAATGATATTTAAATATATTTACTTTGAGAAAAGCGAATGGTCTATGAGCTTGCCTTGTAACCGTAAGTTCCTGGGTTTGGAACCCAAACTAGAATGAAACGGCTATTCAGAACTCCCTGGTTTTCAATGGTTCCCTGACTAATATCAATCCGTGGTCAAATTCGATAAACAAATCAAATCCCTATAAATCAACTGTTGAGAATATTTAATGTTTAAAACAAGCAACAACCGTGAAAAAGCAGTACTTATTGAATTCATAAATTTCGGTAACATTCATCAGCTAAAAATACTCTAAAAGATTTTAAGGTTAAGTACAAAATGTGTATATCAATTTACAAGTATTTGTGGAAGCAAATACATTGGGCGTACAGAAGGATGTTTTTCGACTCGAGGTGCCAAACACTAACTCATATGGCTTTTTAGTACTCATGATAGCATCCCAAGAAGCTCAGTCAAACGACATTTATTGGGCTGTCATCATACGGTGACGTTGGGTAAAAGCTTTATAGTTATCAATAAACAAGTGAACAAAATAGCTCTTGGTTTCGCTGAAGCCCATGTAGTCTGAATAAAGAAGCTAGATCTCTGTATACAAAAAAAGACAGTAGTTACCTTAAATCTACCTTGGTAACATACTTTTACTTTATCTTGACAATTTACCTTCCTTTCCCCTTGTACTTACAGTGAATTTCCCATCATTATCATTATTAGTTTTCTCAGGATTTGTGCATATCGGAAAACCATAGTTGGGTATTAACCTTGGTGAGCAGTGTTCACACAATCTTATGAGTTTAGATCAGCCATGTAAACTCTTGTATGGTTGACATATTGGTGAATGGTGACTGAGTGAACCGAATTGCTCGGCCTCAGGTTGACATGTCTGTTTACATATGTGAAACCTATTTATTTGTTATCACAAATGTTCCTTGTTGTCACAATGCCCATGTGTTTGTATGTATTTAACTTCAAAAGAAAATTGTTTAAATAACGATGTTCGAAGAGTATTCAGCTGACAAGTTCTACCGAAATTTATAAGTTCATTAAATACTGCTTTTTTCACAATCGTTGCTTGTTTTAAATTAACTACGGGAGAGAAATGCTTTCAATGAATATGTAATACACTATTGCAAGAATAGATTTTGAAAATAATACTTGCATCTTTATTGAGCTATAGTTACAGTTGAAAATAAAAATGTGACTGAAAGACAATAATGACAGACGAATTCTGAAATGTTACTATCATAATGTTTGCTTCAAAATCATAGACAATTCCATAATAGAATTATTATTGCATCGACAATACTCATAATGATGCAGTATTATTTGTTTAGTGAAGAAGGAATCGTAGTGGAAAAGTTGACCATGACAAAAATAAGGAAATTAAGACGTCTATATACTACTATACATACTATATTAAGAAGAAAGATATCTGAAACTTTAGACAAGATTATTATTCAGGTAGGAATTAGGACGACATTCAAACATTTGAAAACACTTAGAGAAACCTTTCGTCGGCTTGGGAACCTGACTGATGCAACTAGAAAACACCTTGTATTGACTATGGGGTCAACCTGATGGATCGTAAAAGAGGAAACAACGACACAGGAAATTCTCCTTTCAAAAGCTCTACTGTCGCGCTTCTATTCGACAGATAATTTATAAAATTCATCAAATTTTGGTACCTGTGTTCTAGATAGTGTTTTACGTAGTGTAAGGGGCAATCTAGAAGGGTATATGAGTTAAAAAACGAAAGCTGGTAATACGCAACAAGTGTGAAACTGAATTATATGAATATACAAAATAAAAAAAATAGTGGGAATATAGTTAAGTGTTTAAATGAAATCTGTATGAGAAGCACAGTATTATTAATAAGTAATAAATATGACAATAAAAAAATTATAATTATAAGTACAATAATGTCAGACAGTTAAATGAAACAGAATTACAGCACTTATGTTGCCTTGTCCATGATAGAGCAGATGAAGATATGTACTGCTTCGAACACAGAGGTCTGGTCTGCAGGCCTAAGTATCCAATGTCCCCACTATTTATAAGTGGAGTGTTCGAAGGTTTTGGGCTTTTGGGGAACTCTGTTTAGCACTTCGTAAAAATAATACGGGAATTGATAAGATGCTCGAGGATAGCACCAAAAGTATGTCTTAAATTTCTAACACAGTGACTTTTTTACTTCTGTTCCCGTAGAGCAAAGTAAATAGGTATACATAGCATCAAATCCGTAAATGTGTTTCGGCACACTGCCTGACCTGGTTAACAAGAGGAGAAAAGAGTGATTTCAATTTTACACTCGTTTGGTAGCATCAACCTCCGTTGCTAAACCCCTCATCTTCTTCTTGATTATCCCTCACATTAGGTAAAACGTTATCTAGAATAATAGTAATAATAACTAATATTTGAATGGTTTTATGAGTTTTGTGAACAATATAAATGTTACAGTACAGTTTTCGAAAGCGATCCACAGAAAGGAAAATTCTCTTCACTGTTACACCTTCCTTTTTATTACTCAGTATGGAAATTCACTGTTCAAAAAGGCTTAATCAGTTCATCAGAATATTGGAATTTAGTTGAGTGTAGAATGATTTAACCCCTAAAAAATGATCAACTAATAAAACGACTCCTCAATTGCAATACATACATCAACACAATCATATAATAGTCAAACACTTGGAGGGGCTGACCACTGAAACCTTGTTCACCGATCGAGTCCACACCTAACACGTTCAGTAGGAATGAAACATCACCAATATCAGAGAAATGGAAAATATGATTACCAATAAAATTAAAGGATTAGAAATAATGAAACTAAATAAAAAAAATCTGAAAACTATTTGAAAATCTTCATATGATTATGAACAATAAACAGTGGTCACAACGTCACCAGCAAATATAAAATGATGTATTACTGTTTTTTAACTAATAAAATTACTCTGTTATGCAATTATAATCTACCACAGTGCCTAAATACTGTTCTTATATCAATCATAGACAAATTATTCGACTTCATTAAGTACTTTTTTCTACTTTAAGTTCCCAGTGGAACACAGGACTTCAAGCTGGAGGCTTAAAGTTTCAATAACAGTGATGTTTATTTTTACGGAATGAGGTTGCTAGCCTCATGCCCAACCTTCCCTCTTTACCGGCCCTACTACCGACTTAGTAAGGTAAAGGAGTGCGTCGGCAGGGGATCGAAACACGGACCACATGCGTAGTCGGTGAGCATTCTACCGATGTGCCACTGACGCACTTATTAAGTTCTTAATCATTCCACAAATCTATAAAACATCAAACAAAACACCATTTGTCAAAAAAAATTACCTCATCTCCTTTCATTGGCTCAAAGTGATATTGAACAGGCTTATCAAAATGCGGTGAAGACTTCAAAAAATCCTCCCAGGCATTGATTCGATTAATCTATCCATTTGAAAATGTAAAAGGATTTTAAAAAATCAGTAAATTAAGTTGTTGCTGTTGTTTTTATTATTAGTAGTAACAATTTCAGTGACAACTATACTTATATACACTATGAGAAATGAAGGTAAACAGCCTCACGTATTCACGCAGATACTAACTATGATAGTTAAATAATTCTAGAGGCCATATCAAATAAAGAATCAATGGAAATAGTTAATTTAAAAGGCTTAATATCAAGTTTATTCAGTTGAATTTCATGCAGGTGTACTTGCTAAATGACTGAAATAATCATTTTATGAAAACTACAATAAATGATTATCTCACATTGCATAAAACATAACTCATAATACAGCAAATAAATTTTTGCTGGGGAGAATAGATTTAAGAATCAAAGGATGCTGATTATTTATTTCATCGTGTTTCTCGCGTATAATTATTCATAGAAGTATATTTTAAATTCTGAACTGCATTCCTATGGCTAATCCTTTCAAATCCAGTCAACCTATCAACTTTTGAACATAACCTAATTATGGCATTTGCAATACTGTAGCTATGCAGCAAAACCAAATGAGTGGAATGCTTTGTAATACAAAGTTATTCTGTTATCTGACAATAAATCTCAGAGAGTAGTGTCATTGGTAAAGAAAGATTTTGTTGGATCATACTGTTAAATAACTATTAGAACGAAGGAGCCAATTATTATTTTATTATTATTGTTTCCTTAAGTTCCTAGAAGAACATAGGGCCTCAGTCACATGTCTACATTGCGTTTGGTTCTCCACCGACGTTTTCACCTGGCTCCAAGTCTGCCCACATTCTTTCACCTCTTCCATGTCACCCTCGTACTGACGACCAACTGGTTGCTTATCATTCATGTTCCACTCGAGTGATGGCCTGGCGTGTTATGTCAGTTGATGGTTTTCTCAGAGTATGGTCAATCTACCTCCATTTCTTCCTGCATATTTGTTGTAGTATTCAATTAATCACTCTTTATTTTGGTCTCTCGTCTTAAGTATTCTCAAAACTTAATAATTATGAAGCAGTAAAAATAAATCTCTGAATCACTTTCACAAGACATAAATAAGCAACGAATTATGTTAAATAAGTTAAATAAAAGTAATTTATAAAACACTTTGCTCAAAAGATGTTTCTTGTTGCTTGGTACTCAAAAGTAAGTAGAACCTACAATCCTTTTGGAAATAAATAACTTAAGACTGATATCGACGTATTTCGCTGCTTATTATACCGAATATATACTCAAATGTCACTGCTCATTGTATTTATTTGTCGAATGTTTGATAAATCGAGCTGTAATAGTGATTACTCTTCACATTTGAATTCTATTAATACACTGAATTAGGTAGTATATTATTTGTTGCCTTTCAATAATATATTTTCATCACAAGAAGAAATATATTTGCTAATTTCTTTATTCATTTCGTCAGTGTATCTAAAAACGGGGTGTGGAAACTTAAACCATATGCAAAAAATGAGTAGTTGGAAGTCAGTGACATCAACCAATAACAATCTTCCACCAGAGTGAGGTGATACAAATGAATAACGGTCGACCTCTTCGAACGCTCGAAATTATTCTCACCAGTGTTGTGTTCAAAGCAATTCAGCCAATTCAGTGTGAACTGTACACATTCTGATTTGTTTCTTGGGTAAACTGGTAGAACAAAGGATGCTATCGGCTAAGTGGAATTTCATCATAATTTCCCTTAAAAACTTGCAATATTCAGATCATGACGTGTGACTGCTTTGATACTGTAAATAGTTAGTCTTTTTGAGCAGACACTAAAATAAGGAATGTCACATAATTTATAGAATTTAAGATAACAAATCATACTCTTTTTGATGACCAACATGGTTTTCAACACTAGAAGGTCAAGGCTACAGAAGCAGCACATCTAACCCTTTCCGGAACTAATAATTTTATGTAAATGTGATTCTTTAAAAGTAATACTATCATCTTTTTTAACCATGAACAGGAATTATTGGAAGTTACAGAGTTACACAAAATTATCTAGTGATCGGTTATTACTAAATAATCCTGGATCTCCATAAATATTAAGGGTGTTTGTGTTAACTATTTGATTCGATTATAATTGGACAGCACGTTCGATGACACTGTAATACTATTAGTATTAGCTTCATTTATAATAATTGTATTTATTGACAGTTATTTGAAACTATGAATTTAAGATCAGAGTGGAAGTGATACAGTGATAGATTGGATGGGCACGAAGTGATCCAAAGTACCATACATAGTGGAATGAATGTTTCTGTAGGCCCTACCATTCTAGAAATGTTGGTTGGGTAGCAGCTAAACAGAAAACAATTTCTATCACAGTGAAGGTTGCTGACCTAATGTTGAAGTTGAATAACTAGTCGAAAAGGATATAACATCAGTAAGATGTTTCCATTCAGTCAAGCAGTAAGCCAACTCTGTTATCTTTCCATTCTGACAAGGAGGCAATATAAAATGTCGGCGCCAAGTGAGTAGCCAGTCTGTGACCAACCTCAGGTAGTTTTTCATTGGGCTGCGTAGTCACGCAATAGTAATGCCTTTTTCTAGATGTCTCACCAATGGCAATGGTTGGGGTCGCGCTAAATCACGAATTGGTAGAAGTTAGAATTCATGAGCCATTGAATCGGGTCCCAGTGGCTGAATGGTATACGAGCTTGCCTTGTAACCGGAAGGTCCTGGGTTCGAATCCCAGTGGGTGCGTACTGACGATGATTCCCAAACTAGGATGAAACAGCAGCTGTCCAGTACTCCCTGGTTTTCAATGGTTCTCTAACTGATATCAGTCCGTGATCAACTAGTAATGCCCTTTGTTTATCAGGCATTTCAATAAGTTCATGACTGGTTTCATATCATGATACTTTTTTCAAATATAGTATTTAAATTAGCTAAATGATTTACAGTTGACATAATTCTTAAAGATAAATTTTAGCGATTACTTTCATATATACATAAAAATAAATTCGAGACTGGTGTATAGGCTCATTTAATCGTAGAAATGTTCTGGGCCTAAACTGGTTGATACAGCCATGCTATTCAGATCGAGCAATTCTTATGTTTAATATGCTGTGATAATGTTTTAGTTTATGGAACATGAGGATTCTATGCCATTCTATTACTTATGGCTTTCACCAAGTATATTCAGTTAGTAATAAGTTTATGATACTTCACCCTTAGATATACTGACTGAAAGTATTTCTACAGTCATCTTCACTATTATTTAGTAAACAAAGTAAATGGACTAACCACTAGCTGTACATTATAATTATTTGTAATCTGTCTTGATCATTCATATTCATCTCTAAGGGAATCATTTAATTCCACTTTAATGCGTGTTTACGTTTCATTCCAAATATAATTATTAATTTCCTGTATTGTTTAAATTATGTGGTTGACATTAGTGAAGCGTAATCTCCACAATTTGAAATTATAATATGAACTGGTTGCTACTGATAAACAGTAAAGTTTTAAAATTGAAGATTTTAAGATTGTGTTACTTTGCTTGGTCATTTGGGTGCAATCGACGTAATGTTTCTAGTCGTGAGTTCTATCAACCAAGTTTACAGTGTCATCACTAAATTGGGGGACTAGTTCTTTGAATTCATGTTGGGTAGTAGGATGAAATCGACAGGAAGCTGCGAACTTAGTCTGTGTACTTATTGGCACTTATCAAAGTGGTGTACGTGTAACCTTGGAAAGGTTGATGTTCTCTTTCAGATTCAAACCCTCGTCATTCAGTGCTGAGGTCTGACACGTTCCTATTGAGCTACATGGGTTGCCTCATTATTAAGGCATTTTTTTATTACAGCTTGATTCCACATCGTGTTTTTTGATACAGGTATGGAATTGTTAGCATGTGATATCGGTAGCCCAAATTAGCAGGCCGACCATAGATATCAGGTGTGCGTCGGCAGGGGATCGAACCCCTGACCAAGTGCATGGTCGGCGAGAATCCTAACCACTGTGCCACCGACGCACTAAAAGAAAACACACATGTTGGTTTGCAGGGATTTGATTTAATTGGTTACAAGATTTCATCATGAGCTGACACTGGAACCATTGGAAAATATGGGAGCACTGGACGGACGTTTCGCCCTAGTTGGGGACTCTTCATTGGTGCGCACCCACCATCAGGGTTTAAACTCAGGACCTTCCAGTTGCAAGGCCAGCTCGTACAACAAGCCACTGGGACCCGGTCCATGAATCTTAATCTCTGTAAATTCACTATATAGCACGACCAATAGCCAATGTCATCGGAGAGTATTTGTCCCCGCACCCGACCTGCTGTACCCCTGTGGTTACGACTACACACTAGAATCTACCTGAACAGAGCCAGTCGCTGGCGAAAAAAAAATTATACTCATCAAGTACTGAGATCAGTACTGTTGCTATTGTGATAATAAAATATTGAAAAAATCCGTTTGAAGGAAGAGGTAATCAGCTCCAAAAAACAGTCTGGTCCTGATAACTCATTAGTGAGACTTTTGAAATAAAATAAGAAATTACGCAGGAATTTGAAAAAATATCACATACATGTGATGCTTCCTTGAGTAAGGCGTCAAATCGTTTTTGTGTATTTGTGCAAAACTCAATCTCATTTTCACAAAGCGTTGTGAAGGCTTCTCCCATCTTTTCGTATAATTCACCGTCTAATGTCTGGACAAAAAGGCAAGGAAAAATTCTGCGATCACATTATGACAACAACTTTTAATTACCAGATACTTGTAATTTATCCCTATAAACTCTTTATAAATTAAGCTGGTTAAAACGACTTGATACTGTTAGTCACTATCTGACATCATCTGGCGAGCGACTGAAAATTAAGGAATTCTGTAAGCGTGCATTATCGAAGTTCTGAACAACTCATGAGCATTGACTCATAGATGTTCGATAGCTTAAGCTTATACAAGGGACATGTCACTTTCAGCTGTCGGTTTAACATTCAATGTTCCATAAATTCCAACTTCTGGCAATTATATCATCGAATTTCATATCAAAAGCTTTTGGAAACAGTTTATATTAGTATCTTGTGTTTCGTATGTTTTACGCATCTGCTCTAAATCACATATCACGTAGCATATTAATTTATTATTAGTTTCTAAAACGTCAGACAAAAATTTATTTACTTTAGACTTGAACAAAATGGCGATAGTGAACATCTGTGTGAAGGAGAAAAACAGGCACTATCTTAACTGAGAGTAGAATCTTAAGAGCTCTTGTACAAAAACAAATGCTTGAGCATTTGGTATTTGTTGATATGATATTCCAAAAGATAAAATCATATACAGTTTTCCGGCAGATAAATGTGACCAATTAAGAGACATAGTAAGCATGATGGTGTTTAAGAATATAAAGAAGATTAGAGATACAACATACCTTCTGGTATGCCCAAAATCTGTCTAATTTTCTTAGTATTATCATGAACATGCTTCATTTAGCCAGTGAATGACTGCTGGATCTAAAAACCACGCTAATCCATCTTTTTTCTCTTGAACTAATACAAGAAAAAATTACTTTTTTCACAAAATGGAATGACAGATCATCCTAACCAACCAGAAGAGACTACACTTGAATTTCCTGTTTTTACCTAAACAGTTATTTAAAAAACAGGTCTATATGAGGATATGATTTTGTTGTAGCAAGTAACGTGTACTGGACGTCGATTCGCTGATAGCAAAAGGTGTATGACCGACTATTTTCACTGTCTGTCTTCAAGGTAGACCTTGGACCAATCGCGTCCAAAGTCACCGGGAGAGATGATTAATAAACTCGTGGAGAAATCTAGAAGCTGACTTCAAATTGAAGTATGCGCTGAAGATGTCACCTAGTAGGGTGATGAAAGCTTCTCAAATTAACTATCCAGCTCAGAGAACACAACCACATCAGAAAAAATTTAAAATGTATTCACCGTTGAAAAGCATTAATCCCTGTGCCGTACCCTTTGCTTCCCTAATTCTACATGGTTTTCACTTGTTTCTCAATGAATGATTTAATTACCTTGTGTGATATACCAAATAAAGTCGAAAGAAATAAGTCAATCACAACCAGGCATAGAAATCCCACTCTTCCCTTTGAATTTGAATGAAAATAGTTTATTGTCTACCTTTATCCCCTTCAGTACAGTAGATATAACTGCAAACTGCATAATATTTATAACAGCTATTGTGCATCACTAACCTCCGAACCTTATCTTCGAGCTGTGCTTGGTGACAGTCTTCACCTTAACATTCGCTTGTTTTTCTAGGCAGAAGCGTACATATAGTCATTTGGTGATTTCTTCCTTACTGAATTTAAAGAAAGTATCTACGTACCTTCTGTTTGTTTCAAAAACAAGATGAATCCGATAGTGAAACTAGAGATGTGAGAGATAAGGAATTATCTCAATATATTTGTAACACAGTTCACATTGTTAAAGATCATTCGGGTGAGAAACATCAGAAACAAAATCGCATTAATATGGTCATGTAAATAAAATTGGAGATATATGATGTTATGAAATTCAGAGTGATTAGAAGTGCTAGAGAGTTGTGTGTCATACTCTGATAGATTCGACATAGTATTCAACCTAGAGAGATATTAGTAAGCCAGATATAACGTATGGCTTGTATTTGTGTCTAATTAACATGAAAGCCAGGACAGTTCCCCGCAATTTGTACAAATAATTATCTTTCTGGACTTTATATACATATATATAATAATATAATAAAACTGTTGATGAAGAAAGCACTTTCGCTAACCCCTACCACGAACAACCTCTTGATATAATTTCTGCAGTATTACTGTACTGTATGCAGATCCGGTCGGTCGGTTTTCGACATAGAACTTTGCACATATGTGCGGCAGTTCAATTCGCCACACTCCATGTAGCACACAAAGCAATAGAAGAAAGTAGAAGAAATGCATAATATAGATAGATAGATAGTGAACAGAGGTGTGAGACAAAGGAATAGTAATAACGAAGAACAAAACAGTTTAATTGGAAATCATAAATCACAAGGAGTGGATGCATCTGCGCCAGCCACTGAGAAAGATTTTGAGCCATGTCACCAATTGTTTCCAGCCATTGGTTTTTATCGTCCCGAGGACCATAACCACGAAGTCTACACCTTCCTACGTGGCTTCAAAGCAAATACCATTCTATATTGTTGAAGTTTAGTGGATAATTAGTGTGAAAATTCCGCCTAACATCATCATATTTCCAACGGTAAAAAATTTTAAATGGAGTTTATTACATCATCTTCAACTATTCGTACAGAATTTAATGCAGCTAGCCAGAGAAGAATTCATGCTTGAAAGATGTAGCTGATAGTGTTATATTAATGACGTTTTTTCAAGTTAATATAAACTCTGCTATTGCTTAACAACTCCGTTATCTGTAATGATATTAGATAGTTGGAGGCAATCGGCAGGTAGCCTTGGACCTAGGTTTCGTGCTACTTGGCACTCGTCAGCAAGGCGTATCTGCAACCTTGAAGGCACTCATGTCCCTTCTGAGATTCGAACCCGCGTCACCCAGTGCTGCAGTCAGAGACGTTACCACTTAGCTATCCGGGGCCGCGATTGACCTCATGTAGGACTGTAGTGGATATTTTGATTTGACACTAGTGGTAACGTCTCTGACTGCAGCACTGGGTGACGCGGGTTCGAATCTCAGAAGGGACATGAGTTCCTTCAAGGTTGCAGATACGCCTTGCTGACGAGTGCCAAGTAGCACGAAACCTAGGTCCAAGGCTTCCTGCCGATTGCCTCCAACCATCTAATATCATCACAAACAATGTACACTGTGATGGCGAGCTACCTAGAATGGTGGCCACATTACAACCTGACTGATAGAATTCAGTCTGCACCAAAGAGAGGACTAGACTCATCACACTAGTTACTAGTGTCAAATCAAAATAACTCCGTTATCTACCTAGTAGCTATCGGATGGTAAAAGGTGTAGCTAATCAGCTTTTATTACTAGTGAAAGTCTACGTATAGGGACTGAAAGTTGGCTAAGTGTTAAGACTGATCAACTTCAAATTATATTAAGGACGTGACAGCTACATCGGTTATGAATATGTATATGTATGTATATATATATATATATAAATTATCCAGTTGTTTATTTTAAAAAATTTACTTTTGCTAAAACTGGTAAATCCTCGCTAAAGTAATGCTTTAAATGAGCATTGATTGCTGTTAATTGAAATAAATATTCATTTTTTGCAGTAGCCGATCGTGCATCAAATGCTTGACGTTTACCTAAAAGCTTAAAAAGTAAAAAAATAAAAATAAAAGGTAACATACAATGAGATGAGCATTATAGTTTTTTTATTTGTTTTTAATAGAGGACAATAGTATGTTAACAAGTGCAAGATATTCTGATTAGCCACAAAAGTAATCTTATTAGCCAAGTAGTTGCCAAATCACACTCAAATGATAATGATTTGTGCAGTGAAAAACGGCTCTTCCGATAAACATACGCTTCTATTGGAAAAACTGGCAGTACTGCACAGCTGTTTCGTCCTAGTTAAGGGCTCTTCGTCATTACCCACCTGCCGAGTTTCTAACCCAAGACCTTCCGGTTACGAGGCGAGCTCATAAACCAATAAGACACTGGGACCCGCTCCAGCAGCCCATGAATTCCAACTTCTACAGATTCACGATATTCTAACCAACGTCAGCTCACGATGAAATCCTGTAATCTAATCAATCGAATCAAATCCCTGCAAACTAACATCTAAATATGCACTTCATCATTTCAAAGACGATAGATGACTATCTAGAAGACCAGTTACTTACACTGCTTGCAAAACTTTGGGACCCATCAAACCAAAGTGCAAACCCAGCAGGATAGATGCTGACAAAATTTTTAGTTGACGCCAACAAGAAAACGAGCTCGAAGTCTTTCAAGCGGTGTAACCAATCGACCTTCTGGATTTCTACAAACTAAATATTTATGACTTTAAACCGGTAAGTGATTACTTCTTGTAAGTCAAATTTACTAACAGTACAATTGTTTAAAAGTAAATATATTTCACTTGTAAATCAGCTATACGAATACATCACACAGACAGAGTGCATACAATTGGCTTAATATTAACCTATGCGTGAATATACGTGTTTTAACAGAAATTATGTCCATAAAACAGTCTTCACGACATGTACCATTTTTTATCCAAAATGAGTTCTTGTAAACCTAGCAGTTAGCTTTCAGTATATGTTTTTCCACATATTAGCATATGTTTCCAGTGAATAAACTAGCCAGACTGCAGAATGCTTCCCCATCCACCTACCTCCAAAAAAACATTGTTAACATATCTAGGATTTTTTCCCAAAAGCATTCGATTTCACATGAGAAAATGTATATGATTAGGAATAACAGGGATAATCAAAAATTACTTCTGATGTAAGAATAGATTAAACTCAAATCTGACTGTTAAAAAAGTAAACATTAAAACAACTATAAATAAGAATCCGTCATTCGATAATAAACCAGCTAACTGTCTAACCCGAAGTTCTGTTCACAATAAATAGAGCAAGAATGCTGATTAATCAGTAAAAGTAGATCGAATCTGATAAAAGTAAAGTATCAATAAAATCTCTCAGGGAGTTTTTTTTTCAGCTTTCATATTTGGTAGTGAACGTTTCATCCTTAGACTAAGTGACTTCGTCAGTATTTCCACGTGATCAACTATCAAAGCTACGAGAAAAGTAAAAAGCTTTGTCTTCTTTCCGAGCTACAAATCGTTTTTTCAACTATTTCTTAAATTATTATCATCAAGATTACAGATAAAAACGGCACGCTTCAATAAATAAATACTACACAGAAACAGAGACTGACAGCCGTTCTTAAAATAATGCATTGCGATTTCTAGGCCTGTTTCATTTATTCTCATTTAAGCATCTAACCAGCATAATCAGTCCTCACACAGCAGATATGCCTTATTGTCTAGCATTGGAGAACATGAGACTGCTGAGTGATATTTCATTTTCATTCCATTACGTAGATATTGCGGATACGTAGCATACACATGCAGAGATCAGTAGATGAGTAAGTAGCCAATAGTGGTTACTAACCTGAACCATTGAAGAAAAAGCTGCATAAAGTGTGACTATTTGACACACACAGTATGTTACATATACTATATCATATAACTAATATTAAATTGCATGAAGGATTTCATCATGAGCTGACATCAGTTAGAGAACCGCTGGAAAACCTGTGGGTACTGGACAGCTGTTTCATCCTAGTTTAGGACTCTTCATCAGTACGCACTCACCGGGGTTCGAACCCAGGACCTTCTGGTTACAAGGAGCCATCGAACCCCGGTGGGTGCATACTGTGAAAAGTCCCAAACTAGGACGAAACAGCTGTCCAGTACTCCAAGGTTTTCCAGTGTTTCTCTAACTGATGTGTCAGCTCATGATGAAATCCTCCATGCAATAAAACAAAGTCTCTAGAAAACCAATACTTGAACAATAATATTAAATTATTCCTCTCAGATGAAAAATTTTTTTTCATAATCTTATAAATGAATAAGTAAAACATATAAATGTATGATAACAGTTACCTTATCATAATTTTTGTGTAACTGTGCCATAGAATGAAATATATCAGTAGATCGTCGCTGAATCCTGTAAAGGATAAAAAGTTATTGTATAATTAGAATTGCTGAGTTACTACCTTGCCGACGAACGGTGTGAAGAAATATTTGCTTTCAATGAGAAATAGATTCTTTATCAGAACGAAACAATTTGTCATAACTTACTTAATAATATCGATTTTCACACGTTAACAAGGTGATAATTAATCAGCAAACTTAAGGATAACAATTACAGAGTACGTATAATCACAAAACAAGAACCAATCGCCCAACAAATATGCAGGAGAAAGTGGAGATGGATTGGACACTCGCTGAGGAGGCCGCTGGGTGACATCGCGCGTCAGGCCATAGCTCGAGTGGAACCCGAAAGGGAAGCGACGAGTGGGACGTCCAAGGGTGACATGGACGAGATCATGTGAAGAGGAGTTGAAACAGTATGGGTTAACATGGATGCAGGTGAAAAGTACAGCAGAAGACAGAAACAAGTGGAGACGTGCAGTTGAAGCCCTATGTTCCACTAGGAACCCACGGGAACAATAATTATAATAATATAATTACACTTTAAAACTGTGAGAATTAAAACAGGTGACTGCATAGTAAAAGCAAAGCTTGTCGTTTGTGCTAGTGCACTGTTGCCAGGGTTGTTTATTTTTTCAGATCCAACCTTGCTGATAAGGTTGACTTGATAACAATGAAATTGAAAGTAGCTACTCTTAAAATATAAAAACATTGAACAATAGTTTTGAAAAGTCAAGTAAGGTGTTTCCCACAAATTCAATCACTAATAAAACATTGACATATTTATGTCCATAATACGAATTAAATGGGGATCATATTTCAGATGGACGTTACATGGCAGATGGATTCAGAAATTATACGTACGTTTGTCTTGATGACACCGCAAAAATAAGATTTTAAATAATTCTATTGGATGTGGAAGAATGTCATTTACATGATGATATTTCAAACGCAATTTATTTTTCATAATAATAGTAGCTCCTCATTAGCTGTGAGAAGACAAATATAACAGAGGTTCGTGTGAATATTATACTATCAAATAAATGGTATAAAAACAAGAATGAAATTAGATTTCTGAATGTAAAATACGAGAAAGGCTCATTGATGGACTACACTTTTAACTTACTTTTCTCGAGCAGCGAGTGTTTTTAAACGAGTTTCTTGTGCTTGTTTCTCTTCCTCTGCATAAACTTTATGTGACTTCACCATTTCTTGAACACATGCAGCAAGATCTCCCTAAAAACACGAAAATACAATTAAGTATTATAAAAGCCCATATAATTCACTATTCTGCTCCGGTAGTTTCATTACAGTGATACTAAACACAAAGTGACTGTATGGGATTAGTAAAGTGGGTAGTTCAGAAAAACAAAAAGGTATTAGAGATTAAATTCAACCAGGCGGCTTCCAAATTATCGTTTTGTATCCATCACACTAATCATGAACAATGGCGAAGAGTAATATGTCTGAACAAAAATTCATTAAGAGAAGAGAATATATATCATGTGGTGTGGCAGATTAGCAAAGAAGTCTGTGGCGAATAGCAACAAACTAACCTTTTTTCTCATATTCTATCCACACACACATACACACACATGAAGGGTTGTACTAATGTGACGCGATACACGTGTAGATTACTCAACTGATGCTAAAGAATTAATTCAGTATATCCCACTGAATATCAATAACTATGCGCATCGTTGAAGAGATAATAAGTCTACTGAAATGACGGATATTGTCTGCAAATTATAGCTCAAGAAATATTAGCATCTTAATGTTAAACATGTTATACTTTTTCTAAAATATATACATTTAATATGTACATCGTTTATGATATCCTACAGTCAGATTCATAACCATTTTAAACCATAACTTACAGATGTTATCTCAATTCTGCTTTAGTTTTATAGGTTTTCTTATCTGAAATGTTTTAATGCATGTCTCGGTTGAAAGCTTGTTGCATTCCCTCACTCTCTTCACATCGTTATTAAAAACAACTAAAGTATAATCATTTACTAGTATAAATCCTTGTTGAAGTGATATCCTAAAGTATCCTGTTTTTTTTTAGTGAAGTTAAATAAGTGGATTTAACACAGATTATATATGATAATTCCCTAATATCTCTTCTCTGTAATAGTTGTCTGTAAAAAAAAAACATGCTTACAATAATTCGTGCTCATATAATAAATCAAAAAGGAAACAAAAATGAGATTCTAATTCAAGACATAAAAGCGCAGCATTCAAAAAATCTGAAATTTAACGCATATACCACAAGTTTCTAATAGTTTAAACAGCATAATGCATCACTTTATGTTTGAGGAATAAAATGAAGCTAATACATAAAAATGTTTGAAACCTATTTGTTTTATAAACAATATGGAAGTAAGGCAAAATAGGTTTACAGCATCATCGTTTAAACGTAAACTTTTGCTGTTAAATATAAATGATAACGAATAGGAAATATTCAGTCCTGTTATAAAAAGCTGCTGGCCAAAAATGATTGAAAAACATAGTACATTAGACAAGTATTCTGTTCTAGCTTAAGACACTCCAGCAGTAAACAGTCATAACCTAATGTTTCCAGTGGAATATTATACAGTTTCAAGCTTCGGAGTTTTAATAGCGGTGATGTTGTTTTCTTAAGATGAGGTTACTGGCCTTGCTCACAAACTTCCTTCTTTTCCGGACTGACTATCAGCAGGGTGAGGTTAAGGAATGCATCGGCCGGGAATCGAACCTACACCTCCCGGGTAGTTGGTTAGCACTTTAGGAGTAAGCCAGGGATGCACGATTGGTCCTATAGACAGCATTTTATTTATTAGCTATTCAGATGACATTCCCCTAGAAACCAGTGAAATGAGAAAGCACTTAGCTCCAAGAATGTTTTCTGATAGGTCTCTGTACGATCACACGTACTCATCAACCAACTATTTTTAGAAGTAGCCTGTTCGATGGGAAAACAATTTAATTAATCTATACAATGTGTAGAATCTGTTCCTTTTATCACTTGTATTACAGTCATAAATTTTGCGATATGACAGTAAGATGAGCAGTTCTGTCAGGAATAAACAGACTTCAATGAATCTACTTATTTGGTATCACTCACTGAAGCACAGTGGCCTCATAGTCATCCATTATTAGAAACTACACATTTACTTGGTTTGTGTTGCAGTGCTGATCATGATAATTACTTCACAGGTGATCTTCAGCCATCATTTCTGATGTTCAAATTATTTCACATCTGACTGCTATGAAACAGACAACGTATCTATGCCTAATTGGGTAGTCAGTTGTCGTGTGTTAAAAGCGGTGTAAATATTTATGTTTCTCTTAAATTCACACTTTTTTCAGAATTGAACTTTACCGTTTTGGTTAAGTCACATTTGATGTACTAAAATTTAATTTGTAGTTTGGTCAGTTAATTGTGTGTTGTTTATTTCAGTTTTGTGTGTTGAAATATTCACTAATACGTTACAGACACAACTTGTCTGTATATCTTTTTGTTTCACAAAAGCTCTATAGAGCCCTTTTCGGTTATCAGAGAAACAGAATGACAGTTACACCGCTGAAAAATTCTTTTTTCGATGAAGTCATCTGTTAAGTCATATATTCGTAAACATATGAAAAAGGTGAGTAAACATCAAAATTATTTCTGGTTAGGAGTGAAAAAAAGTTGAATAACCGAATGAATTTGCATAATACAAACATGGATTGAAAGTGGGAAAATAGACAAAAATTAAAGGGACAAATTATCACTGATTAAGAAATTCAACTTATTTTGCTAATCATGATAAAGACGAGAAAGTTTGAACGTACATTTCAGGCAAATTATTGGCTTGAAATGTCTGATAGCTAATGTTTCAACTGCACGTGCATGTCTTGATTTGACTGACTTTCAAGAAGATTTAGGAATTCCGAAATAGAGTTTTTATTTCACAAGGTGTGCGTGCGGTTTCCGAACTAGAGACACACTTTCGTTCTCCCTAGACTGATTGGGCTGAGTCATGTTCAGGAATTTTTTACTCCTTCAAAAGGATTTAGTGATTCTCATTTTGTTTTCTCTAAGTTTACTGTACATGAGGTATATCTGACAGTCTTATTTACTATTTATTTGGTTAAAAATATACCTGATTCCTATTACGTAGATTAACTTATATTCTTTAGAAAGGTGATTGTCTTTAAACAGATAGGATTTATAAATACTGTCTTGTTTCACTCATTTAAATGTCAAGTAACATTATGCAAAGATGTAATACCTACTTTACAGATTCCACAATGAATACTTCCATGCTTATGAACTGAATGTATTAAATTTTGTTTCGTGTGTGGGATAATTAGATGAGACCGTAAATTATTAAAATGCATTTCAAGAGTTTTTTAGAATACACAATAAAAGTTTGATAAACTGGTGGTTTGCATTCGGATCACTAGGAAAAAATTGTTTCACGCTGTACCAATCATCATCTAACTAAAACATTTCAAATCTGCATAGGATTCTACAGAATATCATTACTAGTAGGAAACACTAGATCTGAAAAGCGAAATTTGCTAGCCATATCAGTGACATATCAGTGACCAATTTATTTTCAAGGCTGAGTATTCAAACAGTTTCACTTCAGTAAACAGACTGACTGAAATCATCTAAATTCTATAAACCACAAGCTAGTCCTTGGCATTTTGTTGAACAGCATATTGCGTAAGTTTATGGGATTTTCACCAAATATCACACTCTGCTGTTTTACATAAACTATTTCTAATATTAACCTGTTGCTACAATTTTCGAATAATCTTTAAAACTACACAGCTGTGATGCATGACGTGGGAGCTTTGAAAAGTTCAATTATTGTTGGCTTAACAAGATATATATTCTCTTTTTTAGATGAACCAATAAAAAGTGGATAGTTTGATAATACAACATTATAAAAACTAGGAAATTTCTCAAGCATAGTAATGAGTATATTCTTACCTGAAGTATTTTCAGTTGTTCAAATACGCGTTTGTTAACTGATAAACGTTGAGATTTTAACGGTTTAAGTTCATTCGACAATCTTTGCTGATTATCTGATGCACGTAATCGAGATAAAGCTAAACTGTTCGACTCCGTTAATAATGAATGCCATATGTGCCAAACAGTTGGTTGTTTGCTAGACCTAAGGAGATTGGTCTTAATGGTTGGATAAATAATTACTTACAATAGCATATCATTCTTTGAAGATGTAGACGATACAAATTCTTTCTTAGATAAAAAGCTGTTTACAAGCTTTTGTAATGATTGTCCATATTCGCGTTCAATGACTGCTCTTTGTTTACAGTACATTCTAAAACAAGCAAGATAATAGTACTAAATGTGTAGTGTTTCTATTAATTTGTAAAGCAAGACAAGACGTGAGAAAAAACTTTTAATATACACAAACTTAGCAGTGGAGCACATCTATTATGTGCAGGTAGATAGTTACATATGGTGACATTAATCCTACTGCGTTGAATAAGTATACAAGCTGGAAAGCATACTTTTAGAACAAGGAGTAGCAGCTCTGCCGAAACAAAATAGAGGTTGGGAAGTTAGTTGAGAAAAAGTTACATTTCACCTTGTTAAATTACTGTGAACATTTATGTAATTCAGTTTTATTTATATGTAAATTTTGTGCTTACTAGGATCTTCAACTGAATCGCCTTGCATTATAATATACAATAAACGGCCGTATAAGACTGTAAACACGCACATTTATTAGGGTTAAGTGTTTAATGGAGATGCTAGTTGACAAAAGTCGACAAGCCTACTGCTACTTACAATTGTAGTTTCTTACCTCAGACTCAAAGTGCAGAGAGGCGGTGTTTTGCTTCTACTCGCTTATAGAACCGCTCTTTTAGTTCCTCGTCATTAATGGACAGCCATTATCGTCATCATCTACTCTACTTTAATGATTTATAAATTTTAAGGTCATAATGTTAGTGCTATTACTTTGTACTACTCGCCGCTCTATTTATGTTTATGCTGGCCAATTTTAATCTGAATAGTTTCAAGAAACAGGTAAACATACACCAGCCGACTAATTTGCCTGTCAAATTTCTATTATAAGATTTCATAGCTTAGTTTATTTTCTTAATCTGAAATACATTTATATGCGTTTTTCTATTCTTCGTCGTCCAGTATGCAAAACATAAATAAATTCCCCACACTTTCTATCGCAACTCTATGAACTGTTATTTTACAGTACTGGTTACCTGATTTCATTTCATTTGTAGAATAATCTCGCCCCTTTTATGTTCATCAGAGTACTCATATTAACTGACAAGACAATGAATGCATAGATTTGGAAGAAGCACTAACCACTGTAATAAAAATGAAGAATATTTTGGATATCACCTAATTTCTGTTTGGAAAGCTGACCGAAGCATACAGTATGTCCATTGCATTAGTCATACAATTTTGAAGAGTATGAACATTCTGATTGTTAGGACATGATTGAGGGACATTTAAGTTATAACACAATAATAAATTCATAGTTCGGTATGACAGTCACATAAGAGTCATTCAAATTTAAAGAACGTCATACTGATGGAAGTCAGCACATTCATCTAGAACATGAATGTATTCTAATAAGTAATGTTGTTTTCTGACATTATATTACTTCGAAATTCAAGAATTGCAACCATAAAGTTTCTTTCAATCAGCTGTCATTACCTACTGACAGAACTTTTCTCGATAACATTATAGGTGTTGATCCATTTTATTACAAAGACAGGTGCATCTCATAAAAAATTTCGAAAGGTTTATGCACATATATATGTATATACTTCACGAATTCTCCTGTATTCACCAATTATTGCCACAAAAATTTAAGAGAATTATTCCAGAGTGAATCATTTTAAATAGAGTTTGCCTTAAATCGTCAAAGACTTTCACCAAACTAGTTGGTCATTTACAGGTGACAACAGCAGTAGTAACCTAGATGATATATCTCTTTAAAAGGAAATAATTTAAATGCTGAGAAGTTATGGCTTATCTTTACAAACAAGGTTTTAACACTTTTCTGTCTGAAAGCACGTTACAAGCGTAAAATTACAAAAGTGAATAAGGCTGTGTTACGTTACCTCAAGTCATCCAACAAGTCAGTTTCTGTGGCGTGTTTATTCTGAAGTTTAGCGTAGTGTTCATTGTGAATATTCTTCAGTTGATTGAGCGGTTTCATTGGCTGTGTAAAATGTAGGAAAAATAAGTGATAAACAGTTTACTACAATCTTTTCGGATTTACTACTTGTTTGAGGAATAGTTAACTTAAAATGAATGGATTGTGAAAACCAAAATTTATTCAGCAAACTTAAGTTACTGAAAGTATAGAAGTAAGAGTTTACAAGAGCATAGGTTTGTAAAGTGTCAGTAACGAAAGACACCATAAGCATTATATTAGAATAGTGTGTTTCAGTCCTGAAAATAATTGTCGAAAAATGTGAGATAAATAATGTACTTGATTTCAAAAGATAAGATGGCCTAAACAATACGCAATTCAGATTCTAGTAGCATTTTACTCACTACCATACTATAAAATAAAAATATAGAATCGTTTCTTAATTATTATTAGCCAAGATTTATACAAAACTACTCACAGAGTAAGTATAAATTGTAGTTATACTGTAAGAATTTATACAAGCAAATATTTTTTGCGATATAGGACGTATTTTCACAACACTGAACTAGTATTTATTTCATCTGCATGACTAAAAATATGGAAGTGAGACAAAAGCATTACACGTATTTGTCGAGCATTTTAGTACAATAAATAGAGTTACATGACAAAACATTACACTTCTTTGACTCATAGAACATCCCTAAGCAACCAGAGATGATTTTCAGCTACAAAGCACGAAACTTTGGGTACCTTCATAAAAATGCGAGCTGTTTCAATCAAAATCTGAGTACATTTATGTACGAAATATGATCATACTTTAAAAATAAAACCAAGTCACAGTAGCATTACTGTGGAAAAAGTCAATTCAAATGTAAAACTTTTGATATTAATATCGATTCTATTAACACATACAGAGGGAGATAAAGAAGGATAGTCATAATAAAAGCAAATTTTCTAAGCAACCTAGCTGAGAGATCGTGCATGGAATATAATTACTTAAAAAGACCTCGTGTAAACAGCAAGCAAACCTTAAACGTTAACATTAATTCCATCTCACATTATTTGGCTTTGCAGATACGTCGCTTAAAATGCTAAGTATGAGAACGTTTGCGAAATTACTGTACATACACACCTTTGTAGAATTTTTACATGTATGTTGAATCATAAAAATAATATTTCCACACAAAATAACTTCATTTTCTTTTGTATGTGTACTGACTAGTCATAAAAAGTTATTACCTTACGTCCAGCATAATTCATTGTTCGACCTTCACGAAACTGTATTCACCCACTTAATGAGAGCACAACATAATAGCATGGACAAACAAAAGACTATTAGAAAAAAATGAAAACAAATGCTACAGTAAATAAGTGTTAATCTATATCCAATATCTGTAATTTTACTATTGATAATATGCACGGACAATCACAGTATATCAACATCTATTATCAGTCCCAGTGGCTCAATGGTCTACGAGCTCGCCTCGTAACCAGAAGGTCCTGGGTTCGAATCCCGTTGGGCGCGTACTGCTGAAGAGTCCCAAACTAGGACGAAACAGCTGTCCAGTACTCCCAGCTGGTTTAAAATTTTTTCAGGCCGGTTCCCGGGGAATCGGCCAACTAGTTCGTAGGATAACTCCTCAACCGACAGCCCACATCACGTCAACCACCCCCCAATACGGGGACGTGGTGAGACTGACTACCAGTTGCCTGTACAGTAATGTGAGAGGTCTAAGAGGCAAAATAGCTGAACTTAGATACCTACAATCACAGCTGAACTCCAGAATCATAATACTGACGGAAACCTGGCTAACCCCTACGGTGGCAGACAGCGAAGTCAGTATAAATGATATGGTCCTTGTCAGGCGAGATAGGGATCTGAAAGAAGGAGGTGGAGTCGCCATATACGTCGACAAACAGCTCAGATGTGTCCATGCAATCGACCCTCCCCTCATTGAGCTCCCTGACTCCATATGGTGCCATTTCACCGTTGGGTACTGTAAGTATCTAGTGGGCAGCATTTACAGATCACCTTCATGTGGAGCAGACCACAACCAGGTACTGCTGAATGCAATTTCAGCGACACATGACCTGGGTTATGATCAAATTGTCATAGCTGGAGACTTCAATGCCCCATCTCTTAACTTGATGACGGGATGTGCCCAGGACAGATTTGATCGAAATCTGCTGCATACCATCACGGAGGCCGGATTCACCGAAAATGTCAGAATGGATACTAGATGGGGCCCAGATGGGAAGTCTTCTAGACTGGATTACGTGCTCACTAGTGACCAGCTACTAGTGGAAAACGTTCAGATCACGACTCCCATAGGTAGTAGTGACCATGCGGTCATAACATTCGACATAGTCCTCCGCGAGCGTTTACAGTGGGACAATACACAGCCCTATCTGTGTTATAACAAAGCCAATTACACCGAAATGCGAAGACTTTTGTCTGAAGCAAATTGGCCAAAAAATTGGACAGAGCTTACAGTAGAAGAACACTGGAGAGTGGTAAAGGAGATCATTCACCAGGCGATCTCAGACACTGTTCCTTTGGTCACACCTAAAGCTAGAAAGCAACGTTCATGGCTAAAAAGGGGGACACAACGCCTTCTACAGGCGAAGCGAAAAGCCTGGTTTGCGTGGCGAGTATCGCAGAGTCAACCCGAACATGAAGAGTACCTCGAACTCAGGAATCGGTGTAACATACGAGTCCGGAGTGATAGAAGGACATTTCAGAGAAACCTCGCCAATAAGCTTCTCGTGAACCCCAAAAGCCTATACAGGTTTATGTCTGAAAGAAAACCGACCAACCAGGGAGCTTGCAATATAGTGGGTTCTGATGGGAAATCTCTTACTAGTCTTGAAATGGCAGAGACATTCAGTCTAGCCTTTCACAGGCAACTGAACAGTAACGAGGATTTTACCCTCACAAAACATCAAGATTACAATGCAAGACCAACGTGCGAAAACCTGCTGGGTACATTTCAAATTACCCCGGCTATGGTACTCATAAAATTGGGAAAGTTGGCTTCGGGAAAGTCTGCAGGTTGCGACGACATAAGACCATCCGTCCTGAAGCAGTGTTCAGAAAGTCTCTGCCAACCCCTAAGTGATCTGTTTCAACACTCCTTTGATGTAGGGAAACTTCCATGTGAATGGAAACGAGCCATCCTATCCCCTATCTTCAAGGGTGGTGACCGGCAGAACGCGACCAGTTACAGACCAGTTGCGCTACTCCCAGTGATATCGAAGATACTCGAAAGTCTCATTGACGACCACATGAGAAAATACTTCGACGGGACTAACCTACTCCATGAAGCACAGCATGGTTTCAGGAAGGGAAGATCCTGTGTGACAAATCTTCTACTAGCTTGGAACGATTGGACACTATCCTGGGATGTAAAGGTACCAGTCCATGTGATCTTTCTCGACTTTGCGAAAGCATTCGACACAGTTCACCATGGTCTGCTCCTTCACAAAATAAGCAAAGCGGGTGTTTCTGGAGCACTTCTCGCATGGCTGGAAGATTATTTAGGTGAGAGAGAATTCTGCACCAAAGTCAACCGCATCCGATCATCCTGGCACACCTCGGCATCAGGGGTTCCTCAGGGTTCTATCTTAGGGCCGTTGATGTTTTTGATTTTTATCAATGACCTGCCCTGTCAACTGAATTGCTCTGCGCTTCTTTACGCTGACGACGTAAAGATTTGGAGAGCAATAAACTCATCGGAAGACTCCGACAGATTGCAGGCTGACCTGCAAACGCTGGGGGACTGGGCTCTGGCTAACGGAATGCCTTTCAACTTAAAGAAGTGCAAAGTAGTGCAACTTCATTCCGGCAGGTCACAGAGTGCAAATTACACCCTTGGTGGCCAGAACTTGAGTTGTGTGCCATCAGAACGCGATCTAGGCCTTATTTTAACAGAAAAGCTAGACACCAGTGTAAATTACACGAGGGACGTCGCCAAAGCTTACGGCACTTTACACTTTATGCATAGGCAACTGGGAGCTCTTACTCCTGAACTATTCCTAACGTTGTATACGACATACGTGAGGCCACTCCTTGAGGTGCATAATATCATTGCTCCTCCGCTACTCAAAAGGGATGCTAACATGCTAGAAAGTGTCCAGAGACGAGCGACAAAATGGGTGATCGGCCTCCGCAACAAATCATATGAGGAGAGACTGAAGAAATTAAGTCTTTTCACACTTAGTTACCGTAGTCACAGGGGAGACCTCATCACCGTCTATAAGATCCTAAACGACCAGGCCCATCCTAACAAGAGCATCCTGCCATTAAGTGATTATAGGCTTCCACGAGGTAACCCGCTAAGGATAGCACACCAGAGACCAAGGACTCGAGTGCGTTCACATTTCTTCTCGCTTCGAGTTTGCCGTCTCTGGAACGCTTTACCGGCGGCCGTAACTACAGCTCCATCTGTGGAGATTTTTAAGCGGAAGCTGGACAATCATGCAGAAATGCATGGTTTGTGTCTCAATGGCTTACCCTCTTAAAATTTGAAACCACATTGTCAATGGATAAGCATACAAGCTAAATCTTCACGACCCGTCCTGTCTTCTCCCACTGTACCGACTACTCTATCTTTCTTTCTTTATCTTTCTTTCTTTATTATTTCACTTATCTCAACCTATATTATCTACACTACAACCTATTATTATCATTATTATTATTATTACTCTACTTTTATGACTATACCGAATGACCGACGGGTGTTAGGTCAAACTCCATTCACGACAGCAGCTGAGTCCTAACATACTGCACACTACAAACCACAATCTTGACCAATCCTCGCATCACTCCTCCTGGAGTCTACCAGAGCTAAAGCAGTCGAGTGGCGGGATTTACTACGCATAAGTTCACCGAAGATCTGGAACCTCTACCTTAAAATCAAGAAGCGAGCTCAAAGAAATCACTGGTTTATACTAGCTCGTAATCAGGATATTGGATATTGGATATATTGGATATTGGATCAGTTTGATGAGCTTATAAAGGTCTTATGATTTTTTGGACCTATTAATTGTTGTTTGAAACAGCCCTACATCTTCGGAATATTTCACTACAGACTCAAATCCCCTTTTTCGCAACCTTGCTTGATGAAATTAAATGAGTTCCACTAATTTATTTCAGAATGTGTGGTTTGTGCCATTGTAATGTTTCTGTAATGTTTCGTTTCGCTATCCAATAATTGGTTAGGTAGGAGAATACTCCAGAGGAAGTAATGGTAGTCAGGGTGAGGGAGAATCTATAGAATGAAAAGAACAGACTTAAGACATCGAAGCTGGAGCCAAAAATTTTGCGTGAGCAGATAACAATATGACCAAGCGTGTACACAACTGAAGGAAATGAAGAGAACTAGATAAAACCGATGGATATGGAGTTAATGATAAAAAATGCAAAGAAGTAGTGAAGTGTATGAAAAGAAGGTCGAATATTTGTTATAACAATGCTGCTAGTCTACTTCTCCTGTAGATGCGCAAAACCCAAGTTTTTCGCCGTACGAACTTCTCTTGAAGTCGTCGATTGGAAGACTGGTTTCCACGTGCACAACTAGTGAATTCTGGCCTGATACTTCGAAAAAATAATTTCCAGCATTCGAATTAGCTAACAATGTGTAGAGATGCTAAAATACGCTGGTAGGTCGTTGCAACGCATTCATCGCCTTTTTCTGGAAGGGATGCTATTCGAAATTAAAATATTTGTGAACCCAGTATAGACCCTAGTCAGAGTTTCGGAAACGAATAAATGTCGTTGTTAGATATGCCATCATTGTGAGCTAAACAATTAAAAAAGACAGCTGAAAATGAATGCATTATCTGTCTAGTTATTCCACAATTATTCACCATACAGAAACGGGCTGCGATTATTACAGTTATGGTCACTAACTTGAAACTTCTGAAATTTCGCTTTGCTGACACCAAGCTGTGTGTATGAAACATGTTTCAGACTGCTTTTCAGATTTGAATGTGACGTACGTATGTTTGAGTGAAGGAGACCATAGAAAGTCATTCAGACCATGGATTAATTCGAACAGTTAATCGCATCACTACAATAATAAAGACAGTCAGTCCATATTTTCACCCAAAATCAAGACCATAACCTAAGTGTTCTTAAATAGATGGATAATTTCTACATGAGGGACAATGAAACAGTTAGGCTACTACTCATGTGTGTGACGAGATAGTTGCGGATAGTTTCACTAAGCATAACTTTTGGTGGTGAAATTGCCACAGACATGTTTGAAATCAAAAAATGAAAACATTAGAGGGCAAACTGGAAACTCACTAGTCACTGACATCATCGAAGTCATAAAAGCATGTAGGACAAGATCAGCTGAATGGCTGAATGGATTTCAACATAGAACCTTACATAGCAGTCTGCTTGCTCAAGTTGTCACATTCCGTAACCCACAAACAGGAAGACAAACTACAAGAAAGAGATTCAAAAGTACTATAATAGGCAGAAAGGTGAAGAAGAAGTAAGAGTAACATGGAAAAAATATGATGGTACTGTGCTAATTACAGAAAGTAAACACATTTGCATCAATAAGAACGACCTTTGGCCCTATGTTTGACAATGCGAAGCCATCGGTACTTAGCATCCCAATGACGTCAGCCAGTCAGTCCACACATCCCCAAGCGGCTCAAAGCAAACGTCAGAGCTCTCTGGATGAAGTCTGGTTTGGGTTTGACCACCCATAAAACCTTCCCAACGTATTATGCCGACTTATATCGCCAACATCTCAAGTTTTGTCCTGGACATCTCAGTTGACGTAAGTTGTAAACTTCATCTATCTACATCCCCTCTTAAGGTAACAATGCACCTGACCTCAGTATAAATCACTGTAATAAACCACTCACTACGAAGATAGAACGACAGGTAGCCTTGCTATATCCCCCACTTCTAATGACCAGATTGGCAGCCACAAATTAGGTCCAGCTAAGAATTATCATCAATATCTGCAAATGTACCGAGTGAACCCATCATATCCCGCGAGAAAAGTAACTGCTATGACGTATCCACACATACCAACTAGCATATAGTTTGCTGATGTGGCCGATCAGGGGGTTGCCAAGATGATCCTGTAGAGGGTCAAAGACGTTTTTCCCAAGTATTTGTAATCCATCCAAAACATACTTGGGTTTTTTTGTTAATGCGAAGACAATATTTCTATATTTCTTGATGTGCTCCATTGAATGACTAGTTATCATATTGTTCCCATAGACAAAATGACTGCAACCTTATAATTTTACCATGAACCAAATTTATATAATTTAAATAATACTTATCCATGCCTGTACAATTGGTGTGTCCTACACAGGTAGGAAAAAATGTATTTTATTAAATTACTTTTATTAAATATGCTTACTAATCGTATATGTAATTTATCATATTGATGATGCCTGTAAACTGGCGTCCCTCATGTAAAAAATGAGAACGTACTATTATTATTATATGAACCTAGGCTATTTTACCGTCAACGATCAATTTGGTTAAACCTGTGGATTGCAACACATACTGTTCAGAGACATTTTAGAGGGACGAGAGCTCGACAGCTTCGTTGTTTTGTGATTATTTGCTTGTACATACGCTTCAAATCATCAACAACGCAATCTTTTCAACAGTTACAACTTTTATATTCTTCTTTCGCTAGCTGGAATGGTGCTAAGAGCAGCCTGTCCACCAGGTAGGTGGGCCAGTCCAAGGAGTCATCAGATTTTAGAGCTAGCGCCTAGGTCTAGCAGGAATGATAGTCACAAATCAGCGTTATATCTAGTCGAAACCATTTTTGAAATGAGTTCGAAATCACTCAGTTAGCTTAATCAATTTGCCTCCATGAATATAATTCGGCTATTCCAGGTGTGATCAGGCCAGTCGACCCCGTGGATTTAATGCAGATTGTGAGCAGGTCAGTAACCTAAAACACTTGAAACTCAACATTAGGCCGATTATTTTACCACGTTTACGACTTTTAATCTTTTTAATCATCACTGTCTCAATTTGGTACGATCCATTCGAGAGTTCCATGGGTTCGCACAAATAATTGTCGCTATCGACAGCATTATTCAGTGGCTCGAAGCAGGACCAATCACAGATTCGTCAAGGTAGTTGAAGAAATTTTTTCAAACGGTTGATTGCAAGCATCCTCTAACACAAAACAATTTAAGGAGCGACTTTATTGCAT